TACATCTCTGGAGGCTAGTTACATAGAATCAAGGCTACAGTTTACATGTCACTCAGGTGTTGAAATCCCCCTATTGTTCCCCTGGGGTTAAGTTTCCAGTTCACACCAAGCATGTGTATATCTCTGAGTCTTTCCAATATCCGGTGCCAACAACCACTGAATGAAGTGCTAACACACACTGCGGCAGGAGAACTCAACACCGTGTTGCATGTCCGTGGTAACAAAGAGAGCTGGGATTCAGTTCTACCTGATTACAGACAGCTCACCGCACTGCCTTAACTCTGCCAACAGTTGACACTTCTGTGGCCCTCTGGTGTCCCCTGTGGTGATGCTGTTTCATTGATCCATGCCAAAACCTTAGGTGTTGCCAGGCACCTGGCTTATGCTTTACTGCATTATAAACACAAGTGATGGTTACTGAATAATATTAACAAATAAGGGGTTAATTATTCCGCACTATAAAATACATTGTTCAGTCTTTTTCCATGTCTGGCCCTCAGAGAAAGTGGACTTTAGAGTGACACCACATGCACTACTATATGTATTTATTTTAAACACTAGATGGCAGTGTTGTATCAAAGACAGACTGAAGTTGCTGCAATGTACATCATCTATCTGCTTGCTTGCACCTGATGACCCCTCTACTTCACTTGCGCAGATCTGAAAGAGCATCAAACATTCTGCTTTCACTCCTTTGTTTTCAGATCAGTGCAAAGGAAGTAGGAGATAATAAAAAGCAGCTACATTAGTAGACTATTGAGATGCATGCACCCCTGCCGGCCAAGCTCTCTAGTCTTGATCACAGCAGTGCAGATATAAAATTATGGAGGAATGTGAACAGTGAGCTGCCATTATTATTCATGAAAAGTACCCGTCTATGCACACACACGTGTACAAATATTGTAACATTTTCAGTTACATAAAAAAAGGGCAAACTGACTCGACTCCACATCATGTTTATCTATAGATTTCTAATGGTGAAATTCAAAAGAAGGTAGTCAGCTGGTTTTCCCAACTTGTACATTTCAGTAAAATGATGTTATGCATGAGACGTTTAGAGACAGATTTGATCTTGAATGCAACGCCACTATGTGATGACGTCATCGATAAACGAACGGGCATGCATGCCACATGGAATATTCTCTATGCGCCACGCTTGTTCATGTTGCAATCATAAAGAGTAAAGCACCGGCCATTCAACGATGACACCTTGTCAAATCGGCCATTTACACGTCTTGTGAATTAAAAGGGTATTAAATATGGACTATCGAAGCTAATTTCTAATCTCCACACCTTTGTATTTGACCTCCATAACATTTCGAGTCGCCTGAAGCATTGTGGGTACTACGATTTGTAAACTAAAAGGCTGCTCGGCTGCGTAGAAAACCCGGCAGGATCGACTGTTTGAATTTGAATCATGTGACCCAACAACAGAATAGCACAAAGTACTCCTAGACGACGTCAATACATTTCCTTTAAAATGTCCAAGAAGAAATCACCCGTTCCAAGAAGGAGCACTTTGATCAGGACCGACCTCACACAACTTTATCAAACCCAAAATGGGAAAAACGAGGAAGGGTTTGGTTGTGTGTTCAAAATGCATTAAATACGTCACTTGTTGCTTCAAGCCACACCCAGGCACACCCACAGAGTTCTACAGCTGCACCATTGAGAGCATCTTGACTGGCTGCATCACTGCTTGGTATTGCAACTGCTTGGCATCCGACATCAAGGCGCTACAGAGGGTAGTGCGTACGGCCCAGTACATCACTGGGGCCAAGCTCCCTGCCATCCAGGACCTCTATACCAGGCGGTGTCAGAGGAAGGCCCTAAAGATTGTCAATGACTCCAGCCACCCAAGTTATAGACTGTTCTCCCTGCTACCGCATGGCAAGCGGTACTGATGCACCAAGTCTGGAACCAACAGGACCCTGAACAGCTTCTACCCCCAAGCTATAAGACTGCTAAATAGTTAGTTAAATAGTTAACCAATAGGCTAGGCTGAAACACCTACATTCTGGAGCTGCCTTACTCAACATGGTTTGAAAACTGATATGTGACACTTATTAATGTCAAAATAACATGCTAAAAAGGTGGGGCCCCACCTGCCCTGAATGACGGGTCGCCACTGGGAAGTACAAAAGCCATTGATGGAGCACATGGTCTGAACAGACTAAGATTAAGATGGGTGTCACACCAGAGGAAATTTATTTTTATTTTTTTATTTCACCTTTATTTAACCAGGTAAACCAGTTGAGAACAGGTTCTCATTTACAACTGCGACCTGGCCAAGATAAAGCAAAGCAGTGCAATAAAAACAACACAGAGTTACATATGGGGTAAAAAAACATAAAGTAAAAAATACAACAGAAAATATATATACAGTGTGTGCAAATGTAGCAAGTTATGGAGGTAAGGCAATAAATAGGCTATAGTGCAGAATAATTACAATAGTATTAACACTGGAATGATAGATGTGCAAGAGATTATGTGCAAATAGAGATACTGGGGTGCAAAAGAGCAAAATAAATAACAATATAGGGATGAGGTAGTTGGGTGGGCTAATTTCAGATGGGCTGTGTACAGGTGCAGTGATCGGTAAGGTGCTCTGACAACTGATGCTTAAAGTTATTGAGGGAGATAAGAGTCTCCAGCTTCAGAGATTTTTGCAATTCGTTCCAGTCATTGGCAGCAGAGAACTGGAAGGAATGGCGGCCAAAGGAGGTGTTGGCTTTGGGAATGACCAGTGAGATATACCTGCTGGAGCGCAGACTACGGGTGGGTGCTGCTATGGTGACCAATGAGCTAAGATAAGGCGGGGATTTGCCTAGCAGTGATTTATAGATGGCCTGGAGCCAGTGGGTTTGACGACGAACATGTAGTGAGGACCAGCCAACAAGAGCGTACAGGTCACAGTGGTGGGTAGTGTATGGGGCTTTGGAGACAAAACGGATGGCACTGTGATAGACTACATCCAATTTGCTGAGTAGAGTGTTGGAGGCTATTTTGTAAATGACATCGCCGAAGTCAAGGATCGGTAGGATAGTCAGTTTTACGAGGGCATGTTTGGCAGCATGAGTGAAGGAGGCTTTGTTGCGAAATAGGAAGCCGATTCTAGATTTAACTTTGGATTGCTGTCACTCCGGGGGAAATAATCCATTACCTTTTATGGCTTATTTATCATCAAATAACACTCATTGGTATGATACCTATTTGTATCCTTTTGCAATTTTCCAATAACCCTGGCCGACCTCACTCCGAGTGAGACCCAGTCGACCCGTCTATCTCAGTGGTCCTCCGATGGTATTTCTGTGTGGGGCATGGCACGCCTAGGCAGTGCCATGGTGTCAGAGACATGTTGTGTTTGTCAAACCTAGTCTTTGGCTCCATAGTGTGGTATACTATTTGACCAACTCTCAAACAGAACACCTCTTGCAGGGCGTCTCGGCTCCTGCAGCTTCGACTGTAGGTAGGTCGGTGCCGCCCACTGGGGGCACGGGTCTCCTCCATCACTGGAGGGCTGTGCCCCTGCGCCTCGCTGTGCACCCAGGTTAACCGCAATGTTGTTGGGGGATACCTGGTTGATCCTCCTAGTAGTATATGACTCAAAGATTAGGCCATGCAGGTCTAAGTACACATGACCGGTACACTGAAACTGCGAATGGCTCATCAGTTATGGTTCCTTGATCACTCCAATGTTACTTGGATAACTGTGGCAATTCTAGAGCTTATACATGTCAATGAGTGTTGACCTTTGGGGATTGGTGCATTTATCAAACCTAAAACCCATGTGGGGTACTATCGGGTGTCGGTTTCAGTGACTCTAGATGACCTTGAGCCATTCGGGCACCCTTTGTGGTGGTGATGTCTCATTCGAATGTATGCCCTATCAACTTTCGATGGTACTTTGTGTCTACCATGGTGACCATGGGTAATGGGGAATCAGGGTTTGATCCTGGAGAGGGAGCCTAAGAAACGGCTACCATACCCAAGGATTATGCACCAGGCGCGCAAATTACCCACTGCCGACTTTGGGAGGTATACTAAACATAACAAAACAGGACTCTCTCGAGGCCCTGTAATTGGAATGGGTACACCTTAACTTATTTTACAAGGATCCATTGCTAATGTTTAAAAGTTGCATTTTACAGTGGTCAGAAACCTCTGAAAGTGTAATTAATATGTTTTAACCATAACATTTGACTGCCTGTGTATTGTCCAACGGTGTGACATAATGTCCTATGGGGTGATGCTATTAAATGAAAGGAAAAAAGGTGTTGTCTTGGACAAAATGTAAAAATAATTGTTAAGCATGAGGCAGGTAACATGATCATAATAAACAAGTAAATTAATTCATTTTTATCTAGGTTTGGTAAAATTATGGGAAATCTTACTCAAAATCTAATGGGGAGACACTTGGTTATCGTCAACATACAAGGGAATGTGTTTTTCAATTGAAATTACGGAATATGAGACCGATTTGAAATACAGAAGTAACTAATAATCTATTTGGGAATAATTAAACCTTTATATTAACATTTATAGTGATGGCACAGTCACACCAGAGGACAAATTCAAAGCACTGTCATAAAATGGTTTGTTAAATTGGATATACATTTAAAATCCACGGTGGACATAACATTTTGAGTTGTTTAGACATAATTTATTGCAACTATATGTTTTTTCACCTCAATTTTAGAAGTTGTTTTTATTTATTTAAACTTTTGTTTTAACCAAATGTCAACTACCCAGTTACAAAACTCCAGTCGATTCCGTTATATTCGGATACCATAGTTTACATTCAGCCATCGAGCTGAGCGTCAGCCTAAAGTGCAACCAGCCTTGTATTTTTACCGTCTATTTATATTTGGTTGTCATTGGTAAACACGATTTATTTGCCTACCCAGTCTTTGAAGTGATTGGACTGTTGAGCTATCAATAACCTCCTTTCCGCCCATTTGGCCTCCTTTGGTTGGCTGTTGTCCCTTCTCTTTCTCTCTGTCGCGGCGGTGGGTCGGAGCCGCTGTGTTCCCGATCTGGCACGTTCCTGTCCAAATTCTTCTCGGTTTAGAATTGGATTCCCTTTACGAAATCTCCGAAATTCTCAACTCTGCCAAATTTAAAGCCAGTGCTCCCCAATTCTATTTTTCCGCACACAGCCTCAAAATTAGAACCTCCAAGAAGATGGCGATGGGGTCGGCAGTCGCCCGGCTTGAGGGCCGAGAATTCGAATACCTGATGAAGAAGAGGTCGGCGACCATCGGACGGAACTCATCGCAGGGCTCGGTGGACGTCAGCATGGGCCACTCCAGTTTCATCTCCCGTCGGCACCTCGAAATTTTCACCGCCGGTGAAGACGGCACCGGTAGCGGGGAATTCTACCTTCGTTGCCTCGGCAAAAACGGGGTGTTTGTGGATGGGGTGTTCCAGAGACGAGGTGCTCCACCTTTGCAGCTCCCACGAATGTAAGAAGGGTATTATTTTACATTTTATGTCGAGGTAGAACTGCTAGCTAACGTAAATGTGACTATATTCTGACCTCCGCTTTGTTATTGTTTTGTTCCCCCGCCGCCGCACGTGTTGTGTCAAGCAACGCCTGTCCCCACCGAACGTTAGTGAGCGCTAGCTAACATTAACTGGCAAAGCTTGCTTTCTTTGCATAGAATGGTTACGCGAAACAACCTGAAAATGTTGTAATTTAACATTAATAAAATTGCTACGCGTGCATATGTTTGTGTGCATATCTCTTGCTAGCACAGTGTTTACGAAGGAATATGTACAGTGCCTTCAGAACGTATTCGTACCCCTTGACTTATTCCACATTTTGTTACAGCCTGAATTAAAGGAATACTTTTTCCCCCTCAACCATCTAGACACAATACCGCATAATGACTAAGTGAATATGTTTCGAAATGTTTTCAAATTTATTGAAAATGAAATATCTCATCTACATAAGTATTCACACCCCTGAGTCAATGCTTTGCAGAAGCGCCTTTGGCAGCGATTACAGCTTTGAGTCGTCTTGGGAATGTCTATCAGCTTTGCACATCTGGATTTGGGGATTTTCTCCCATTCTACCTTGCAGTTGTTCTCGATCTCTGTTAAATTAGATGGGGAGTGGTGTTGAACAGCAATCTTCAAGTCTTTCAACAGATTTAATGGGATGAAAGTCTGCACTTTGGCTGGGCCACTCAAGGACTTTCACATTCTTGTTCTGAAGCCATTCCAGCGTTGCTTTGGCTGTATGCTTGGGGTCATTGGCCTGTTGGAAAGTAAATCTTCGCCCGGTCTAAGGTCGTTTGCACTCTGATGCAGGTTATCATCAAGGATATGCCTTTGTTTGGCTCCATTCATTGTTCCTGCTATCCTTACCAGTCTCCCAGTCCCTGCTGCTGAAAAGCATCCCCATAGCATGATGCTGCTACCACCATGCTTCACAGGAGGGATGGTGTTAGAAGGGCGATGAGCTGTGCCTGTTTTTTTTCTCCAGACATAGAGCTTTGCATTCAGACCAAAGAGTTACATTTGTCTCATCAGACCACAGAATATTTTGCCTTATGCTCTGAGTCTTTCGCGTGCCTTTTTGCAAACCCATCGCATGCAGTCATGTGCCTTTTTAATCAGGAGTGGCATCCATCTGACTACTCTCCCATAAAGCCCAGATTGGTGAAGTGCTGTAGAGACTGTTGTCCTTCTGGCAGGTTCTACCATCTCAGCCAAGGAACTCTGTAGTTCTGTCATTGGGTTCTTAGTCACCTCCCTGACCAAGGTCCTTCTTGCCCAGTTGCTTAGTTTGGTCGGACGCCAGCTCTAGGCAGAGTCTGGGTAGTTCCATGTTTTTTCCATTCCCAATGATGGAGACCACGGTGTTCTTGGAAACTTTCAACACTCTAGAAATTGTGTTATACCCTTCCCCAGATATATGCCACATTACAAATCGGTCTGCGGCCAGTTCCTTGGACTTCATGGTAGTTTCTGCTCTGACATGCACTATCAACTGTGGCACCTTACATAGACAGGTGTGTTTCTTTCTAAATCATGTCCAAACAATTGAATTGGCCACAGGTGGACTCCAATCAAGGTGTAGTGACAGCTCAAGGATGATCAAAGTAAATTGGATGCAACTGAGCTCAAGTTGGAGTGTCATAGCAAAGTGGTGTGAATACTTATGTAAATTTGATATTTCTGTTTCTCATTTTCAAAAATGTCTAAAAACATTGTCATTATGGGGTATTGTGTGTAGATGGGTAAGAATCTATTTAATCAATTTTGAATTCAGGCTGTAACACAACAAAATGTGGAATAAGTCAAGGGGTTTGAATACTTTCTGAAGGCACTGTAGCTAGTTACCTGTACTTGTGCGATGGGCCATGCTTTGGCTCAATCTCAGCATGATTTCTAATCGGATGTGTTGCAATGTTTGAACAGCATCATGTAGAAACAAACTAACCTACCCCATGTTTTGTAATTGTCAGTATGGTCTATAGATCAAGCTGAATTGATAACTTTTCAAAATTCAGCCAGCAACCAAATGTTACCCGAAGGAAATGGTCAATAGAAGTAGGGGGTTGGAAATAGTCTTGATTGTTATGATTAGTAGAACTGCGTACCACTCTGATTCTATTAGGTCTGAAATATCAAATATGCCTATGTCACAGCAGGCCAGTCAGCTGGTCCCATAGCAGATGATATGGTCCAAATATACCCACATGTAATAATAAGACCTGTTATGTAAGTGTCATGATGGCCATCCATTTATAAACCCAGTGTAATGGCTAACTCTTCTGGCCCACACTGGCTAGACCCTATTAGAGCTGCTCTGCATGTTTTGACTATGTGCAAAAATACCCATAGCAACACTGCTGGTGTGTTGCAGTCAGTATGCATAATGAAAGAGACATTCTCACAATTGTTGAGTGAGTCTGGGTAGGTCTGGATGGCCTGCACTTGTCATGTCCTAATATTATCTCTTTGACTCTCCCTCCCTCTCTTTCTTTGTTCTCTAGGTGCTGTTTCCGGTTCCCCAGCACCAACATCAAGATCACGTTCACAGCCCTGTCCAGCGATAAGAAGGAGCGTAGGAACGTGTCGGAGTCGCCAGTCAAGCCCGTCCAGCACCAGATAGCGCCACTGACCATCAACATTCCAGACAACATCGCCCACCTCATAAGCCCCCTGCCCTCACCCACTGGCACCATAAGGTGAGAGTGGAGTGAAGTTGGAGCCATGAAATGGTCAGAGCATTGCAAATAGCATGGTTATTAGAGTCTGGACCTCGAAGCTAGTTCCGATGCTGATTTCCATTCTTCCCCTCTAATCAGGGACGGATTTAGACCTTTCTCACCTGGTGGGTGCAATTAATTATCAGGTAGAACAGAACCAGCAGTACTCCGGACCCCCAGGCTTAGATTTGAATACTCCTTATATATTAGTACCAGTCAAATTATTCACCTACTCATTCCAGGGCCTTTCTTTATTTTTACTATTATCTACATTGTAGAATAATAGTGAATACATCAAAACTATGAAATAACACATGGAATCATGTAGTAACCACATTTTTTTTTAACAATGACGGGTAGGCCGTCATTGTAAATAAGAATGTGTTCTTAACTGACTTGCCTAGTTAAATAAAGGTTAAATTAAAAAAAGATATATATAAATAAGTTGCCACCCTTTGCCTTGATGACAGCTTTGCACACTCTTGGTATTCTCTCAACCAGCTTCATGAGGTAGTCACCTGGAATACATTTCAATTAACAGGTGTGCCTTCTTAAAAGTTAATTTGTGGAATTTCTTTCCTCCTTAATGCGTTTGAGCCAATCAGTTGTGTTTTGACAAGGTAGGGGTGGTATACAGAAGATAGCTCTATTTGGTAAAAGACCAAGTCCATATTATGGCAAGAACAGCTCAAATAAGCAAAGAGAAACGACAGTCCATCATTACTTTAAGACACGAAGGTCAGTCAATCCGGAAAATTTCAACAACTTTGAAAGTTTCTTCAAGTGCAGTCGCAAAAACCATAATGCGCTATGATGAAACTGGCTCTCATGAGGACCGCCACAGGAATGGAAGACCCAGAGTTACCTCTGCTGCAGAGGATAAGTTCATTAGAGTTACCAGCATCAGAAATTGCAGCCCAAATAAATGCTTCACAGAGTTCAGGTAACAGACACATCTCAACATCAACTGTTCAGAGGAGACTGCGTGAATCAGGCCTTCATGGTCGAATTGCTGCAAAGAAACCACTACTAAAGGACACCAATAAGAAGAAGAGACTTGCTTGGGCCAAGAAACACGAGCAATGGACATTAGACTGGTGGAAATCTGGCCTTTGGTCTGATGAGTCCAAATTAGATTTTTTTGGTTCCAACCGCAGTGTCTTTATAAGACGCAGAGTAGGTGAACAGATGATCTCCGCATGTGTGGTTCCCACCGTGAAGCATGGAGGAGGAGGTGTGATGGTGTGGGGGTGCTTTGCTGGTGACACTGTCTGTGATTTATTTAGAATTCAAGGCACACTTAACCAGCATGGCTACCACAGCATTCTGCATCGATACGCTATCCCATCTGGTTTGCGTTTAGTGGGAATATCATTTGTTTTTCAACAGAACAATGACCCAAAACACACCTCCAGGCTGTGTAAGCGCTATTTGACCAAGGAGAGCGATGGAGTGCTGCATCAGATGACCTGGCCTCCACAATCACCCGACCTCAACCCAATTGAAATGGTTTGGGATTGGTTGGACTGCAGAGTGAAGGAAAAGCAGCCAACAAGTGCTCAGCATATGTGGGAACTCCTTCAAGACTGTTGGAAAAGCATTCCTCATGAAGCTGGTTGAGAGAATGCCAAGAGTGTGCAAAGCTGTCATCAAGGGAAAGGGTGGCTACTTTGATTTGTTTGAACACTTATTTGGTTACTACATGATTCAATATGTGTTATTTCATAGTTTTGATGTCTTCACTAAAAAAATATAGAAAAACCCTTGAATGAGAATTTGTGTCCAAACTTTTGACTGGTACTGTATATGTATTATTCAGCCGTCAGAGGACCTTTCAGCCACCATGGTTATGGATTAGGTGTATTTTGGATGCTTGATGGATCGGATATATTTTTTGCCATCACAGGATTTCCATGTTCATCACCAAACCACGCTCTCTCCCACTCAGTCTCACCGTTAAATTGTTTCTCGTCCCCCACAGTGCCGCCAACTCCTGTCCAAACTCCTGTCCGTCAAGTCCCCGAGGGGCGGGGCTGTCTGGCTATAGGATGGGCCGCGTGCTGACCGCTGACCTCGTCAACGAGAACTCCCAAACAGACGACAAGGACGGCTCGGGAGGAGACAGCCCCAAGGTGAGACACCAGCAACTCAGGGATGCATCTGAAGTGGCTTCCTCTCTTTGTCTCCTTTCCTTTACACTGAAAGGAAAAGAGAAGATCAGTCAAAGCATTATAATGGAAGACAAATTAGAGACCTGGCCACGTCTGACAGACCAGTACTGATGAAGGAAAGAATACAAGAAGAGAATTCCACTTTAGACTTTTGACATGCACTCCTAGTCCTGGGGTAAATCGGCAAAATGAAGCATTCGGAACGTTGCAAATAGAAATGAGACTAAAATAGCTAAACTATTCCCTGTTCTACCCGACAGACAGTGGTATCTGTTCTACACAATACATTTCTATCTCAATATTCTGTAATGTTGCACCCTCCTGAATACATCCCTGGGTGACGGAACACATTGGATTTGTTTTGGTTCTCTGGGGTGGGTTACTCATTGAAGTCCAAAAGTTGCCCAATGTTTGTGAAATATTGACTTTGGAGTGAGGAACCCTGGTGAACTCTAGTAAAATAGGGTGGGGCTCTACTTGTTTTCCAACGTGTGAGGAACATGAAACTGAAAACAAGTTCTCACAAAACCAAACACTTTTTTTATTGACCCAGATAAGCACATGCAATTATAGCAACAATCTAAATGCTGCCATATCAGATATCTGTAGCATGAAATGAAGCCCATTTCTCCATTTGTTCTGTCCTCAGGATGACTCCAAGCCACCGTATTCCTATGCCCAACTAATAGTCCAGGCCATCACCATGGCCCCCGACAAGCAGCTGACTCTGAATGGGATTTACACACACATCACCAAGAACTACCCCTACTACAGGACCGCAGACAAAGGCTGGCAGGTTGGTGACTCCACCCTGTATTTCATGCTGCTGTGGTACATTTCTCTTAGAATGAGAGACAAACTGACATCTAAGTAAACAGCATCTTTTTAAGTTATCCTGTCTTTATCCATCACAATCTGTCTTTCATGTGTTTTTGAACTAAACTCTATCCTCTCTTGTGTTCTAGAAACTGATCCATTGTTTCTCTCGCTCTCTTCCCCCCCTTCCCTCTGTCTCTCGCCCTGGTGTTCTACAATTCCATAATTCTCACATCTCTCTTGTGTTCTAGAATCTCAATCCGCTGTAACCTTTCCATAGTAATGAATACTGTCTCTCTCTTTTGTGTTCTAGAACTCGATCCGTCACAACTTGTCTCTGAACCGCTACTTCATCAAAGTGGCTCGGTCTCAGGAGGAACCGGGTAAGGGATCGTTCTGGAGGATCGACCCCTCATCAGAGGGCAAGTTGTGTGAACAGGCGTTCAGGAAACGTAGGGCCAGGGGGGTACCCTGCTTCAGGACGCCACTAGGGCCCCTCTCATCAAGGTAAATTACTACTCACTATAACTCAGATACTCCTATATTTCCATGTACACTGAGTGTACAAAACATTAGAAACACCTGCTGTTTACATGACATAGACTGACCAGGTGAAAGCTATGACCCCTTGTTGATTGTCTCCTGTTAAATCCACTTCAGTCAGTGTAGATGAAGGGGAGGAGACAGGTTAAATAATGATTTTTAAGCCTTGAGACAATTGAGACATGGATTGTGCATATGTGGCATTCAATGGGTGAATGGGCAAGACAAAATATTTAAGTGCCTTTGAATGGGGTATGGTAGTAGGTGCCAGGCCCACCGGTTGGAGTGTGAAGAACTGCAACGCTTCTGGGTTTTTCATGCTCAACAGTTTCCCATGTGTATCAAGAATGGTCCACCACCCAAAGGACATCCAGCCAACTTGACATAACTGTGGGAAGCATTGGAGTCAACATGGGCCAGCATCCCTGTGGAATGCTTTCAACACCTTGTAGAGTCCATGCCCGACGAATTGAGGCTGTTCTGAAGGCAAAAGGGGGTGCAACTCGGTATTAGGAAGGTGTTCCTAATGTTTTATACACTCGTGTACATTTTCCGCATACAATGCATTCGGAAAGTATTCAGACCCCTTGACTTTTTCCACATTTTGTTACATTACAGCTTTATTTTAAAATGGAGTAAATTGTTTGTTTTCCTCATCAATCTATATACAATAACCCCATAATGACAAAGTGAAAAAATAGGTTTTAAGAAATTTTTGCAAATCTATTACAAATAAAAAGCAGAAATACCTTATTTACATAAGTATTCAGACCCTTTGCTATGAGATTTGAAATTGAGCTCCAGTGCAACCTGTTTACATTGATCCTCCTTGAGATGTATCTACAACTTCATTGGAGTCCACCTGTGGTAAATTCAATTGATGGACATGATTTGGGAAAGGCACACACCTGTCTATATAAGGTCCCACAGTTGACCGTGCATGTCAGAGCAAAAACCAAGCCATGAGGTCGAAGGAATTGTCCGTATACATGATTGTGTCGAGGCACAGATCTGGGGACGGGTACCTAAACATTTCTGCAGCATTGAAGGTCCCCAAGAACACAGTGGCCTCCATCATTCTTTAATGGAAGAAGTTTGGAAACAACAAGACTCTTCCTTGAGCTGGCCGCCCGACCAAACTGAGCAATCGGGATAAGGGCCTTGGTCAAGAACCCGATTGCCACTCTGACAGAGCTCCAGAGTTCCTCTTTGGAGATGGGAGAACCTTTCAGAAGGACAACCATCGCTGCAGCACTCCACCAATCAGACCTTTATGGTAGAGTGGCCAGACGGAAGCCATTACTCAGTAAAAGGCACATGACAGCCAACTTGGAGTTTGTCAAAAGGCACCTAAAGGAAACCAAGATTGAACTCTTTGGCCTGAATGCCAAGCATCACGTCTGGAGGAAACCTGGCACCATCCCTACGGTTCAGTATGGTGGTGGCAGCATCATGCTGTGGGGATGTTTTTCAGCAGCAGGGACTGGGAGACTAGTCAAGATCGAGGGAAAGATGAATGGAGCGATGAACGGAGCAAAGTACAGAGAGATCCTTGATGAAAACCTGCTCCAGAGCACTCAGGACCTCAGACTGAGGCGAAGGTTCACCTTCCAACAGGACAATGACCCTAAGCACAGCCAAGACCTGAATATAGCTGTGCATCAACGCTCCCCATCCAACCTGACAGAGCTTGAAAGGATCTGCAGAGAAGAATGGGAGAAACTCCCCAAATACAGGTATGCCAAGCTTGTAGCGTCATTCCCAAGAAGACTCAAGGCTGTAATCTCAGCCAAAGGTGCTTCAACAAAGTACTGAGTAAAGGGTCTGAATACTTACACTACTGTTCAAAAGTTTGGGGTCACTTAGAAATGTCCTTGTTTTCGAAAGAAAAGCAATTATTTTGTCCATTAAAATAACATCAAATTGATCAGAAATACAGTGTAGACATTTTTAATGTTGTAAATGGCTATTGTAGCTGGAAACGGCTAATTTGTTATGGAATATCTACATAGGCGTACAGAGGCCCATTATCAGCAACCATCTATCCTGTGTTCCAATGGCACGTTGTGTTTGCTAATCCAAGTTTATAATTTTAAAAGGCTAAATGATCATTAGAAAACCCTTTTGCAATTATGTTAGCACAGCTAATCAATTTTAGATTAAGGCTGTAATTTAACAAAATGTGGAAAAAGTCAAGGGGTCTGAATACTTTCTGAATGCACTGTAGTTTGAAATGGCATGCAGTTCTCCAGCAGTATTTAACTCACCAATGCCCCCTGTGGGTTCAGTTAGGCATTGCAGGTAGATTAAATTATTTGTCTGTCTGGGACACTGAGCTCTTAACCTAACGTAGCAGGCGTAAAAAAATAAAATAAAATAAACTAGATCCCCTACATACTGGTCTTGACGAAAATTACAATAAAAACTGTCGGGGGAAGGAAACAAAACTGTTGGCAGGTTCTCTTCTGCACTGTTAAACCAATCTGGTAAATGTGAAGGAGGAGTTAAGATGTAGTGTCACCTTGTTAACTCCAAAAGCGGAAGGTTCTTTCCATCACAGGCTCTTTCCATTTTCCCTGAAAACCGGAACATCAGGTTGTTGGGGACTCGGCAAAGGCTACTGAGCTCTAAATGAGTCAATGGGCTCTGGGGAGGATGTTTCTTATTGGCATGCACACACCGATGACGGCACACACTTTCACATTTGCGTCATTCTAATAGTATTCCTGCTGTCTTCCCGTCAGGAGTGCCCCGGCCTCTCCTAGCCACACAGGGGGGCTGTCGGCCCACTCCAGTGGTGTGCAGACACCAGAAAGCCTGTCAAGGGAGGGCTCCCCTGTCCCCATGGACCCAGAGCCAGCTCGGGCCACAGCTCCCACCACGGCCACTGCCCTACAGCCCAAACTAGCTGTCATCCAGGAGGCCCAATTCGCTAAGAGTGCTCCTGGTAGGTTGTTGTTTCAACTCTGGTGGTGGGTGGTAAACCACTCCATTTCCTGTCTGACCTCTGACACTTGTCTCTGGTAGGCTCCCCTCTGAACAGCCAGCCGGTGCTGATCGCCATGCAGCGACAGTTGCCCCAGACGACCATGAAGCCTGTTACCTACACCATGGCAACACCCGTCATGACAACAGCTGTAAGCTCTACCCCCATCATGCAGACAGTGCACGTACTCCAACAGATCCCGATGGTCACCATGGCTACCGTCGCTGCCTCACAGAACTCCGTTGTTACACTGAAAACAGAACCGCAGGAGAATGGAGGGGGAGACCACAATGGGGTCAAAGGTGGGGAGACTGAGTTTGGCATATAGATTTACAGTACATTTTTAGTTCTTTGCTGTAACAGTCCCATATAAATGAAAAACTGTAGTCTTATATCGCAAAGTGTTTGTCACTCTTTCCCAGTCAAAGTGGAGCCGGTCCCAGCCATCATTACTTCCTCTATAGGCGGCGCCAATCGCATCATCCAGACCTCCCAGGCCACGCCCCTAACAACGGTTACCATCGTGCAACAACCTCCCCTGGGCCAGCATCGGCTTCCTATCAAGACCATCACACAGAACGGGACTCACCTGGTCCCCATCACTACTGCTGTTAACACAGGTGAAACACACTCAAAATGGCACCCAACACCATGAAGCTTTAAAAATGGCAGATGATTGTAATGACTTTATTTGTGTAAAATTACCAGCCTTTTCACTCTGTGCTTGTTTATGTCAGGCCTGCCATGAATCCAGTAGTGAAACTCCCTCTCTCTCTCCCCCCTCTCAGCAGTGGTGAACCCCCTCCACCTGTTGGCAGCCCATGCCTCGGCCTCTGCATCACTGCCCACCAAGAGGCAAAATGGGGAGCTGGCCGACCACCCCGAACCCAAGAGGGTCAAAACGGAGGAGGGGGGCGAGAGTATAGCCCCCGCTGTAACCAACTCATGCACAAGCGGAGACTGGGAGAATGGGGTTAGTGAAAAGGCCGGCGATAACTAGAGGTCCTGACCCCTCTCCTCAATGAGCTCTACTATTCTACTATCCCACCCCCACAACCTGACTCCCACTCTAAACCACGTTGATCCTCTACTCCAAGGTGCCAAAAGAAGAAGAGATATGGATCCACCTCCGGATTACAGAATGTGTGAGCAGTAGACAGACCACCACCCACCCATTGGTATAAAAAGCAGAAAATAATATGATGCAAAAACTAAAAGACCAAAACAAGGCCAAGGTACAAAAAAAAAAGGAAAAAGTTGTTAGAGGTGACCCTGTTTTGGAGATACAAATGAAAACTAAACCTTAAGTGAAGCACAGTAAGCCTTCATATAGAAGTTTAAATTTAAATGAAGTCTAAAAATGTAAATTAGATCTAAACAGACCTCTAGACTTTGACCACCAGAATCACCAAGCCTTCCACTGCTGATTGGAAAGTTTCTCTTTCAGTTTTTACCCAGGACACAACCCCAAGAGAGGGAAGTAGCCAATGGCATCATCCTGGTAGCATGATGGGCAAGCGCTTAATTTTTGGGAAGAAATTACTTAGACCGTTAACAGTAGTGTATTCTGTAAAAGGAAGTGTGTGTGTGTGGGGAACCATTCCCTATATCTCTGGCAGCTAGCCTTAATGTCGACCTATCTAATGCAGTCGTGAGTAGATATGCCGTATTTTGTTGTACACGTGTATCCTAGGATCTTCTTTGAGTGTACCACCTGTTTCCTAAGGCACAGACATTTATTTAGTAATAACCATACTAAAAACTAGAAGTGAGGTCGAAAACATCTAACGTCACCTGATATTGTGGAATCCTCTATTTTTTTCCGCGGTGGACTCTTTATTCAGTGAAATGAATGTAGTCACCTTTTCCTTCAAGAAAACACTATGGAGTGAATTGTTTTGTTTTTCTGTTGTCAAACTCAAAATAAGTTTATCGCTGTACATCTACAGATTTTTCATATTTTAACAAATATCCTATAAGATAAAAGTATATTTCCATGCGTGTTTGACTGTATGCTTCATCAGTGCTTGCATGTTACCGAATTTAGAGAATTTACATGAGCAGATAACTGAATATGTAACTGAAGAAAATAAGACTGAATCAATGCTATACTGTATGATTCTGAACAGTGCTGCACTTACCCTCTTTATTTGAGTTATTTCTTTCCCTCCTTTCTTCTGTTGTCCCTGTCATCAATGGCTGTTACCTTTTGTTTAAAGTTGGCAGTCTCCTTGCTTGATTATTTTATTCTGTTTAGGCTCTCTGAAGTCTCTTCAGATTGTATTCAATGTTTCCATGAGGAAAAATAAGTGATAGATGTTTATTCGGCTTCAGTAAAATGCTTCTTTTTTTATAAATTAATTTAAACCTCTGTCCTGTGTCGTACCATTTCTGTCTGTGTATTTTTGGCTCGCTCTGCTAGACTGGTAAAGGCTCATTCCCACAGAGAAACAGACACAGTGTTTGTCGCCTTGTCAAGCAGTCAAAGAACATTGTTTTCAACCTGAGATGCCTTGAAGAGGGGGCGATATTAGATTCAGCAGCCAGCCAGCCAGCCACAGTGAGATCAACCATCCTTTTGCAAGGCATCTCCTGTTGTCAACGCTCTAAACATCACCATGTAACTTTTTTGAATCTCTTATTTCCGCAACTCCTAATGCAGTGGTCCTTTTAGGGGCCCAAGGTATGTTCTGTAACACAGGAGAAATGACACTAGAGAAACAGCTGCTAAGCAGATAGTTGGCATCTGCCTGGTGTTGAGATTAGGGAATACTAGTCTAGTTCTAGGGAAGTAGGGAGGACAGCGCTGTTGAGTCACCATGACCCTGCAGCTGCATTCCTGGGAGGTTAGTTAGTGTTCCAGGAAGTTACTGTAGGCCAGATGTGTGGGAAACAAGTGGAGAACACTTTCTCTATGAAACATGGCTGCATCTGAAAGGGCCCCCTTGTCACTATATTATGTAGTGCACTACTTTTGACCAGAATCTATATGGCCTTGGTTGAAAGTAGTGCACCATATAGGGAATAGGGTGCCATTTGGATCTAGCCACAAACTTCCCCCACATGGAGCCCTCATGTAATGGATTACAGAACCAACTGGACCACTTATGTCTGTATGCTGACACATTTGAACTGCCTGAAAACCATATCCTTTACTACAGTACTAATGGTACTACTCCCACTTTAGACCTGGAAACACTGAAGGGGATAAGTGCTGGCTTGGAGTTTATGGTCCAAGCATGTTTCCTTATAAACTAAAGTAACCTTCACACACAAACAGATCACACACTACCCCAAACTAAGTTACCTACACTACCTGACGTTTTATTCACAATTTTAAATGCAGGATTTTACAATCATGTAGTGAGTGAATTCCACTTGCACAATCAGAGCAGGAAGCAACAAATGAAATGCATTCAGTGGTTCCCATTAAGATGTAACAGGACAAATGACACAGAAGAATACATTATAGTACTGCAGTGTAAGGTCATACACATGACCCAATAAGCTAGATCCGATGCTGTGACAAACATAAGATGGGCTCTAAAGCTTGTAGATCCACACATTTAAATGTTTTGTAGATTAGATAATTTATGCAGAAGTTTGCTCAAGCTGCCCCTAGTGAACAAGCAGAAGAGTTCTCTTCATGGGCAAACTACATCAGCCAACTAAACCTCACCAGAAAGGAATGGGTAACGTTGTCACACAAGAAGGTGGATTTTGGTTTAATTCAGTTAGAATGTGTCACTCAGACTTAAATTTAGGCCTAGATTCAATCAGATCAAGCGTCAACAGCAGACACCCGCATAGCGGATGTTTTGGCGGTGTCATAGGTGGAACTGAGTTGGAGCCATCAAATCAGTGAGCAGCTGCTCTTACGAACATTGTCACGAAGCCCACTGCTCCATTCACGTTAGAACTTCAGAACGAGAAAGTGTAGGCTATATTTGCTCAAATTGAAAATGAAATAATGAGGATTTCTATCATCCTAATCGAGGCGTACATCTCACATTATAGTGTTAGAACTTTTAAACCATGCAGCCAATGTTAATGTCCGCTTTAAGTATAATGGCAGTTCCACCTCTGACACCGCCCAAACAACCACTATGCGGATGTCGGCTAAAGCGGATCGGATTGAATAGAGCCCGTAATCTTGAAAGCATATTTTTTTATGTAAGCAATGGGGGTGGTGGAAACTGTATTTTCAATTCACTGTGATCATGGCAGTATAGTCAATCAGTTCACACAATAATAATAATATAATATGCCATTTAGCATACGCTTTTATCCAAAGCGACTTAGTCATGTGTGCATACATTTTTACGTTTGACTGGGAAGGCTCTGGGAAAACGGTTGTATTAATTCATGAACGGATGTATGATAAACCTGAACAAATTAGGCTCGTCTGTCTGTATCCCTTAAGAAGATGCATGTTATTCATCTCCTTGGAGACTGATCAAGTTTCTGAGTTTGATCTTTACATTGAGTTTTGATCCTAATCAAAGTACTTGGGCCTAAATTCAATCCGGACCGTGGAAGAGCTGCGTTATAGTGTGATTGACATTCATTTCCGAGTGAGCCGACATATGCAGCGTTTACCGTGAATGCAGTCTCTGCGAACACGGAAACCTTGCTTTTAAAAGGTCCATAGCCGAATAGGGGCAATCGGATTGAATCTAGCGCCGAAATCAGTGCTTTTGGTTCTTGGTTTGGCTTATAGGTACTAACTAGGGGTTCTAACTAATTCACCTCATCCTCATGGAGACTCATACTGTAAAGAATATTGCACATACATACCTACATACATACCTACACAGCAACATGAAATGGGCAGGAAGAGTGAAACAATAAGATATTGATCAAAAAATGTGTTCTTCTATTCTGTACAGTCTATGCAGTAAGTTACATATGTTCAGTCTGGCGTATTCATTGTGTTTATACAGTGAGTAAAAGCTAAACCTAGCTCTACCAGGGTGGGGTTTCACCAAGAGGAATCGCTGAGGTTAACCAGATAACCACTGTAAATACTCTGAAAGCCTGTAATATCAAGTTCATATAAAAATAGGAACTTTTAAACTGAAACAATTCTTCAACTGTACGAAGATTGATTAAGAAATATTTCTTTCAAAGTGTTTTTCAAAGTTATCTGGCCAACTCAATGGCCTTACCTTGTGAAATCCCACCCATGCAATTTGTACATATATACACACACACACACATATATATGTATATATGTGAGTATATTCACACACTCCACTCTCGATTCAGCTCAGAGGCACTCCCTATAGTTAGGTTAGGTGGTGTTAGTTGACAAGATTTGTTTTCTATGCATCTACCTATTAGAATCAACGCTATACGCCTTTAAAAAATAACCAACCGATCATCGTAAATTTTACGGAAGACATCTTTAAAAAGCAAGTTTCCCTCTTTTGTTCTCGGAGTAGCAGGACAAGGAGGCCCAGGTGACATCCATTAGAGTCTTTTCTCATCCCTCTGTCTGTCTTTCTGTAGTTGTCTAGTTGTACAGGGACAGTCTTTAAGTAGGTTTTGTCAGAGGGGGCACGCAGTCCCCATTTCTCTTGGTCCATCTTTCTTTCTTTCCCTCTCTCCTTCCTTCCTCTGTTGTTTCCGAGACGGTGTCTCTCTCTCCTTCCCTCTGACGCTCCTCCATGTAGAGTCCATCAGCACTTGGTGAGCAGAGACATCATCTTTTCCTCCAGTCCATCCCCTCATCCTCCAGAAAATAAACACACCCGCCATGCACACGTCTGTCCGTTTGCAGGAGGTGGTAGGGTGAAAGGTCAGACCTTCTCGTCTGTCATCTCCAGGAACTGTGCGTAGACGTCTCGGGAACACTCCCCCTTCTGGTTGAACAGGAACTTGTAGTAGCTGCCATCAGCACAAATGGCTGAGGAGAGAGAGGTCACAATAAGAGACTGTACATTTATTTTTTATTTTATTTCACCTTTATTTAACCAGGTAAGCCAGTTGAGAACAAGTTCTCATTTACAACTGCGACCTGGCCAAGATAAAGCAAAGCAGTGCGATAAAAACAACAACACAGAGTTACATATGGGGTAAACAAAACAAAGTCAAAAATACAACAGAAAATATATATACAGTGTGTGCAAATGTAGCAAGTTATGGAGGTAAGGCAATAAATAGGCTATAGTGCAAAATAATTACAATTTAGTATTAACACTGGAATGATAGATGTGCAAGAGATGATGTGCAAATAGAGATACTGGGGTGCAAATGAGCAAAATAAATAACAATATGGGGTTGAGGTAGTTGGGTGGGCTAATTACAGATGGGCTGTGTACAGGTGCAGTGATCGGTAAGGTGCTCTGACAACTGATGCTTAAAGTTAGTGAGGGAGATAAGAGTCTCCAGCTTCAGAGATTTTTGCATTTCGTGCGTACCTCAGCTATATTCTCAAAGTCAAATACGTTTTTTTTTCTGGTGTTGGCAGAAAAGTATCCACAAATGTAAGAACACAGTTTCCTGCTCAAAGTCTAAAATGAGTCAATGGTGTCAACAATAAAACAATCAAATAAGTGGTGTCAAGTCAACAATAATATTCAAGTCAACAAGGAAGGAATGTCACTCTGAATCTGTCTATAGACGCTGGGCAGGATGCAGGAAGTGGCTGGAGTATGTATAACTTATGACTGCACTGGGCTCTGTTCCAGAGGTCTGCCAACACAAACATGTACTCAGAGAGAGATACCTCGCACACACACACACGCATTACTCACCTATGACAGAGTTGGGTTCTGTTCCGAAGGCACACACACACGGCGAGTTTGATGGAACCTGGAACTTGGAGAAGCTCCACTTGGAGCTGAAGTACTTAGGAAGGAAACTGGCTGAGGCTAAGCTAAGAATAAAAGGAAATAACAATGATTCAGGGATGGGTTTGGAATTACAGGAAGCATTGGTAAGGATTCGAGAATGGGTTTGGAATGGCGGCTGGTTTAAAGATTAACATTGAAAAACAATGTGCTCACTTCAAAGTTATTCCTCCAAAGAATGGGGTGTATATCCTTGAACAGTCAACAAGACAGCTCTCTCAAAGAGCTGTATCACCACTGGCACTCATGTCTGACCACGTGCAACAAGGCACTACATTCACTTTTGATCAATGTTGCATAATTTGGACCTCTGTTAAGAGATCCAGTTGACAGTGCATAGAAAGGTTAAATGTTTGGCTTAGACAGACCTGGACTGTTTGTTCCTCTTGGGGTCCTCTGCAGCGAATATGTGGACTGTACCGTGGTCACTAGACACACAGATGAGGGACGCATCCTGGTTGAAATTGATGCTGGGGAGGGGAAATAAGTTACCAATCAGGACTATAACAATAACTTACTTACTATGACTGTGATATGTAGTTGTCGTACCTAGCAACCTCAAGACCGGTAAACTAACTTTAAGTCACTCTGGATCAGAGCATCTGCTAAATTACTAAAATGTTAATGTAAACATTAAGCCGGGCGTACACTACACAATTTTTGCCACGATTGAGCTGTCCCAGACAAGTTTTTGAGATCGGAGACAAAATCCCCATGTCGTTGCCTACTCGGGGCGCGCGACCGTCACCGATGCTTGTTTAATGTGAGCGGGTCAAAGACGCAATCTGAGGGCTACCGTTCTCGTCTTTGAGCAGTTACAGACGTGCCTATATTTTCAAACATTCTTGATTTTTTCAGCACAAAATCTCCAATGCTCTTGTGGTGTGAGATGTGGAACGACACGTTTTGAGAACAGTGATCAGCAATAGCCAATGAGAGCTCGCCAGTGAGATGATGAGGTTGTTTCACTTCACCAGAATGTGTAGACTCTCCAGCAGGAGCGATGACTACTCCTAGTATGCGTTTGTACTTGCCTTTAATCAAAGCCAAAGTGTCAAATCGTTACAGCTCTGAAGTTCACAAGCAATGTTATTGAATTCAAAATGTTAGCTAGATATTTCAACTCTGTATGGCAAGCGTGAATGTCTGACTGAACGTTCTTTGAGGCTGCTTTGAGCCACAGCTCGTAGCTACGTTAAATCTAATCACATCATTGTTTTCGCGAGACAGCGTGGTATAGAGAATCCTCACGACCAAGTGAAGAATCTTGTAGTGTGTGACCCTGTCTGTGCCACATCATTTAGTGTGCGCACCACTACGTTGGCAACACAAAAAAACTACAGGAAAGACGGTCGTTTAATGTGAAAGGCTCAGCGATGTTAGGATTTTGAAAGTCGTGTACTGTCCACCCGGCTTTAGTTAATTTCTCACATCTAATATCAGATGAAGAAATACCCAGGTTGGTTGGTTGTTCTCACCAGTAGATGTTAGCAGCCTGTGACCCTCGCCTCAACTCCTGAATCAGGTGGCCTGCCATGGTGTCAAATATTCTGATCAGGGTCCCCTAGAGATAAATAAACAAAGGCACAGAGACACAGCGTTGGGAGTTGGTCACCCCTAGTCTACAAGCAACAAGGACAACCAATGCTAGATATAAAAATCCTAAGGCACCGTCTAAGCCCAGGAGTAGTGTTAAAAGGGTTAAGCCAATGAGTAGTTCTAAAGGGGTTGTAATACTTTCTCGGAGGCCGTGGCTATCCTGGTTCCCTGCAGGTTGAGGGCGATGCAGCACAGCGCCCCCTCGTGAGCGGGGATGTCCACTGGAGGCTTCTCTGTGTTGGCAAGGTCTACAATCTGCACGTGCCCAGAGTGGGTCCCCGGGAACGCCAGTAGAGAGTTGTTACTGTTGGGACACAGCACACACAAACCTGGGGGAGGAGGGAGAGAAGTTATGGATACAGTCATGGAGAAAGAAAGAGAGACAGAGAGAGCATGAGAGAGAGAGAGGTAAGGAGAAGAGAGGAAAGCAAGAGAGAGAGAGAGAGAATCTGTCGATGGCTACACATTACAACCATGTAACACTCGTGAAGATTGTGTGTTTACTTCAATTATGAGTGTGTCCAATGTATTTAGCGGAGAGAAAGGGCAAGAGAGAGAGAGAGATTTGAGAGGAGAAGCTAGGACACATTACAACCATGTAACATTCTTGTAAAAATGGTTTGTTTACTTAAATTATGGTCTTGTCTAATGTATTTAGCAGGCTGGTTAGGAATCTGAGAGCTGCAATAGAAAGTAGCTGGTCTGTCTGTGTAGTAGTATTGACCTTTGGGGTTGTAGCAGGTCTCAAACACATGCAGCTGATGAGGGTTGTGGGTGAACGTGAACACTTTGATCATCGAGTCCAGGACCACCACGATCCTGAGGACATCAGAGAGATGCAGACATTAGGCTCAAGATTGAGAAAAAGGGAGAGATTTCTGGCCCACTAACATACAGCAATCTAATGGGGAAACATTGGTAAGAAAACATTTCACTACTCCTGACACCAAAATATTACCTTCTAACATTCCCTTTAATATTACCTAAAGGTGAACATCTTAACAGTCCCGAGTAGTCCTATAATTCAGCTCTCTCAAAGCACCAAGGAGCTATACTTTGTTATACCATTACTGGATTATGACCTTGTAACTGGTTGGAAATGATACAGTACTATATAATTACTGCCAATCTAACAGGTTCTGTGCCTATCATGCTGACCACACCGCTCGCGTTAAGTGCACGAGCGGTGCAAAATAAATGTACACATACATGTTATTCAATCATTTAATCCAAACTGCTCGCGTACGTCAACGAGCGTCTGCGTAGCTAGGCGCTGAAATAGAACTTGATTCTATTTTTGACGCTTGACGCGCTGCAAGTCCCGCCTCTCCCATCTCCTCATTGGTTTTTAGGAGCATAGACCCACTAGTGATTGAAAGATGAACTGAAGTCCACACTCCAGTCCAGTTGGTGGTGGTAATGCACCTTAAAGTTGGTTGCCAACCACCATATAAAGTCCAAAGAAGAAGAAGAAGACTGAAGGTGGAGAGATTACTAGAAACTAACTAGGTTTACCCTTTTATCAGTGGATTAATTGTCTGAGTAGAGGACCTTGTACATTTCAGGTAAAATAACAACCCAATGTTTTTATCCCAGGACAAATTAGCTAGCAACAGCAAGCTAGGAACAGCAAGCTAGCTAGCTAAATTGCCATTAATGTTTAATGCGTTTCGACCTGTCCCCAAATTAATATAAGTGGTTCAGAGTTCGTTTTCATATTTCAACCTGTGTGTCCTGATCGCGTCTGGTGTCGATGGACAAAATCAACATGCACGCGATGGCGCACGCGATGGCGCACGCGATGGCGCACGCGATGGAGCACGCGATGGCGCACGCGATGGCGCACGCGTGGAGACGGTCTAGTCAGCATGTAAGAAGAGGGAGTGCAATCACAGCCAGCTATTACTGTACTCGTACCATCTTCCACCCTCACTGTGCTGTAACTTAGGCTAAATCTCATATGATATCCTATTCCCTATACAGTGCACTACAGTACTTCCAACCAGATTGCTGTGTCATTCGAGATAAAATTATCCCGAAGGAGCAGCCATTTGCAGCATTGCTGGTTGGTCGTAAATGCTTCAAGAGGTAGTTAAAGTGGTACTAAATTCTTACTCCATTTGTATTGGCACGCAACACTGCTGATAGAGACACATTAAGGGAAGAAAAAGGGCGGAAAGTGTTCGTACCTGTCCCTTCGAAGCTTCACTGCTTTGACTTCCGTGGAGAACTCAATTTCTATAACCGTCTTTTTCTTCAGGTCATCCCAGATCATCACTAGAGGAAAGCATCAGAGGACAAGGTGGGAATTACAACTGACAAGACCAACATGACATGTCTCTAGTGCCAGACCAATGTAAGGAAATAACTGGATATAGTCACTATGGTGGAAAAGTCTACCACTAAGAGATAAGGGCAAGGAAAACATTTCTAACAGATAGAAGTGTTAGACCTTTTTCGATTTTGGGGGTTCCAAAATATATTATTTATTTTGCTCATATTACATAGGTGATGGAAAGTTCAGCACAAGCACCAAACACACACAGTAACCACCATACCTTTGTTAGGTGGGTATTTGGGCTTTTTCCCTCCTCCGACCAGCGCTAGGTAGTTACACCTGAACAGCATCTCCACATGCCCGACCCCGCCCTCCATGAACTCTGGAAGACACATACAATCACCTCATTGGCCATTAAGCTGTCAATCTGGCGGGTGGCGAGTAAACTGAGCCAATGAGAGTCAAGGGTGTCGCCTCAAAAACCACCACAATTATCCAAACCATTATTCCAACAAGATCTATAAATGTTACTAGAGATCCGTCCCTGATAAGGAGAATTTAAATAGTTTTAATATCTCAACGTTTTACTAAATAGCAAACAACTCCTCATTCTATCTGTATATTAAAAACAAACCTTTCCAGCATGCATGACGCATCACTGAAATAAAAATCACTGTAGTCATGTTGTTATTTAGACCCATATCAACCAAAGCCTGCACACCCTGCAGCAACCCTCCAGGACCAGGTTATCCCTGGCCTATACTATAGGCTAATCATTTCCCTGCAGTACTAAAGACAGTACAGTAAGCCATTTCCTATAGTGACTTTGGACCAGGTCATGTGAGGAGTGAGGAGTCACATGTGCAGGGCTCAGTGGCGGAATGATTAACTTCCTCATATAGCCCTCCTCATCCAACCCAGCCACAGACAGACAGATCCATCTCATCTCACACACAGCAGGAGCAGGAAGGAAGTACCTTGGCTCTCGCTGTCACAATGCTGTGTCCCTGTGTGCAGCAAAATGGCCTCGATTTACTGCAAGCAATGCTACTGACCCATTGAGTTTATTTACATATCAACAAAATGGCTACACCAGAACTTTGATTAACAGTAAACCGTAGAAAAAGGCACATTATGATGAATCATGATTATCAAAAAGGATATGTTTGATACACTTCTAATTATGATTTTATGTTTCATATTTGCTGTACAGTCATTATTTTTTACATATATTTACCTTGTTTTTCTTTCTCTTTGAGTGGGTCTGTGTTGTACACTCTAAACCCATTCTCCATTCCACAAGCAAAGCATCCTGGAAGGAGCACAGACAGACAATCCCAGTGGTTAGAACAACCCTGATCAAAGCTAGGTCCAAATAAATTCACAGTGAATGAATAACCACAATATTTATCCATCTTCAAAGACATCATGATTATGAGGGAGGTCAACTAAGGACAGTCTATGCTTCCTGTCAGCTTATCAGTTCCTGTACTTTCTCTCTTTCCTATCAGATTTGGAGCATGTCCTACTACTCCAGTAACCTGAAGTTGCCTGCAAGGAATGCACACACAGTGAACATTGAGCAGTGTTTGAATATTAGCAAACAGTCATTGCTTTGTTCAGAGGGAGACCCATTCATTCACTGCTCAGTGAAGAAAAGCTGACTTGGGCCACCCACCCACTCCCACACACACTGGTACCAAGCTTGTAACCGTCAAGTCTGTCTGCCTAGACTGCAATGAAATCTGATTCTGCATCTAAAATAATGTATATGTTAAGAGTTTAAAAAGGAAGGTATATGGTGCACTTGACCAAGTTTGATGTGTAAAACATAGTATTTCCCCTGCCAAGTCTAGGGCTACACTCACTAACTAAACAATGGATCATCACACTCACAGCTTGAGCTAGCTAGCTGGCTTTTTATGTACAGTAAACGATTTAGTAGCTTAGCAGTTGTCAAACTAACGTTCTAACCACAGATAAAAGAGGACAGTTCTAGCTATAATATTTGTTATAACCATGATTTGTGCAATATAACGTTAACGTTAGCTTTGTAGCTAAATTAGCTAGCTAGCTAACGGACAGAGATAAAGATTAGAAAATGTTACAACCCCGCAAGCATATAGCTACTGTAAGTGTAAATGTATAGATGTTTATTTGACGTTAGCCACAACATTAGTGCTATCTTGTCAACAGTGGAACCCCCCACAGCTGTCTTTCCTGCTAGCTAGCTAACGTTACGTTGTTAGCTGATGCTAGCGTATTATTAAAATCTAAACGTGAGCGCCTAACAGATCCATAATATTTAGCTCTTAATATGATTAAAGATCAGAGTTACATGTAATACCATTTAGTTTGGCCAACGTTAGCTAGATAAATAGCTGGGTGTAATGCTGCGTTCATAACCAAGTGGGAAGGCGGTATTTACCGCATATGACTGAGAAATCAAATTGAACACCCCTCCTACTGGTAATTACTTGTGGGAAACTTGTCTTTCATCCCTGAGCTCCGACATACAGACCAAACCTAGTAAAGAAATTACCTTGATAACAGCATTTTCGGCAGTTAAATGCAACAACAAAACACTATTTATAAAAAGTAATATATTAATATGGTTTTTGAACATATAATTTGTTTACAAGCATGGCAGCTGTTCTTTTAGTTTATGGTTGACACAGCTTGTTGGCCATTAGCAAATCTGAGTTCATAGCACGTGAATGCATCCAACGGAGGGGTATCCTATTAAGCAGGTTTGAGGAGTTAGGTCTCTCTTTATGTAGCGTTGTCTCTCTTGTCGTGATGTGTGTTTTGTCCTATATTAGGTAGGTAACTCTGGTCAACTGAGTTCAACTCAGGATAACCGGCCATACGAGAGTGGCTCACATTTTAGCCAGGTAACTAACCTGCTCCGGGGCAGGCTAACTCTACTTACCCTGAATGAAATGACTGAGACGCGAGTTGAGGACCAATTAAATCAGATTCCCTCCCTCTTGCAAAGATTGCGTCATCTCCTTCATTTTAATTAAATATAGTATTGGCCTTGGCAGCAACTAATGGAGATCCATAATAAATACAAAGATGGCACTAGCGATAAGTAATAAAATAAAGACAGCGCTTCTAAAAGCCTATTTCACACCATAGCCTGCTGAATTTGCAAGGTAACTTTTATTTCATTTTTATTTTGGCACAAATGAAAATGTGGCACTGACTCGCCCATGGATTGATGTTTTAGCATTGTCTCAATGAAGATTTCAGCGTTCGACTAGCCATGTGCGACATGCACAGGCAGTTACAAGCCTGCTAGAGTTAGCGGCAGGCAGAGGTGCAATATCCACCGTCCTAGTATGGATGAATCCTGAGCTGGGATGTGAAGCTAACTGAAATTAGTTAGCTTTAGAAAATCCTGAGTAGATCTAGCTTGCTTCATAAGACACCATCTGCTCTTTACGACTTCACAACTGGTAATTACCACCTTCCCACTTGGTTATAAACTCAGCATTACAGCCCCCGGCCTCAAGACGTAGTTAGCATGGTTTCGACGACAGAACTGGCAACCAAAGACGATTTCGATGAAGAAACCATTTCTCACCATGATCCTGGTTGAATCCCGCGTACAGGAGTCCGTTCCCATGTGCATTTGATGGCAGTAAATTCATTATTTCGATCAGATAATCAGTCGTACGTTAGCCGAATTTTCACAGAATGCTAGCTACCATTTCTCCTGTGCCACAGACAGTCAGGAAAAACAACACAGCTTTTGGTTCATCCAGGACGCTCAAAAGAGCACCGAGCGATCGATTGATTGGGAGTTTCAGCAAAGATGGTGGATAAATGAAGATAAGTCACTCAGGCCGTTTACCGTTGTCTGCGTAGTGGGGTGGCTCTCCATAGACACCAATGCGATAGCAGTCAGCTAAATTCAGGGGTTCTCAAAGTGGGGAGAGGTCCGTGGAGGTACTGCAGGGGGTTCGCGGCCAGATCTCAATATGTTTTACATTTCATTTTTTAATTAATATTACTAACAACAGATTAAACTACTTTTGGCCAAGGGATCCATAGAATAAGTTTAAATTGTGCAATAGAGCCCCACAGTGGAGGTGTAACAATACCCATAAAACGTAGCGGTCAAACAGAGAAATGGTTTCAATCGTTTTACCACCATTCATTTTTCCCATGGGGGATTTTAGAAACACTTAAAATAAGGGCAGTGTTTTGTGTAAGCTTACCCTGGCGTGACGTTTTGATAACAGCGCAAATCTCTCTCCGACAAGGTAACTTTTATCAATATGTTTGCCTGTAATTACCCCCCAAAAATGAAATGCTAATTAGCCGCTAATGTGGCTATCATACAGAAATAACTACATATCCTGTTGCAAGCTTTGACATTATCACTCAAAGCCCAATGTGGGAAAAACCTCCACATTTCTCAGTGCAAATACAAATGAACACTTATTTTTCTTAAAACGGCATTGTTGGTTAAGGGCTTGTAAGTAAACATTTCACTGTAAGGTCTACACCTGTTGTATTCGGCGCATGTGACAAATACAATTTGATTTGCAGTTACGAAGCGAGTAGATATTATAGCCTTTTTAGTTTCTCATGTAAATAATTGATATTGTGTATTTTAAATGTTTACCACGTGAAGGTAGCAGTTCAGCTGAGCATTGCTGTGTCCCACTGTGTGAGGCTTCCTCCAAGTTCAACACCGTGTTAAGTTTTCACACTTTTACTGCAATGGAAGACACACATAAAAAGTGGATCAGAAATATTCGATGTGAGAGATTCAACATCACCTCCCATATTAGGGTCTGCAGCCGCCACTGCCAAAGTGATGACTTGATCAAGCCTCCCACTGGACATCGGCTAATCAAGAAGAGAGCACATAACCTTAGGAAATAACATCTGCTAGAAATAATCACAGATAAGGAAAGATGTACACATTTTTTTTATTTTGTATTATCTTTTACCAGAGAGGAAAAACAAGACAATGGTTATTTATAATTAATATTTCAAAAAGTCATCTCTGTAAAAAAGTTATACATTTATTGAAATGTAAATTAAATAAATTAGATATTGTTAGGCATCTCTTCAAGTAAGAGTAAATAAATAAATGGTCAGCCTTCTCTCTGATTGCTTCCCAATCATGGCGGTCTCTGTGGATGGGCTGTATCAGCATGTCATCCTGGGCATACACCACAAAGTCACATCACTCCAACCCTGAGATCAGCATCTGACCTTGCACCTGCCAATAGTATGCATGCTTGTGTTTCAGTGCTGGTGTACCATTCTGGGTCTTTAGGTAAGGGCAGTCCATGTAGCTCTTGACATTTGTGCACTTTACCTCCAGCAGGCCAAATTATGGACTCTGCGGGGTCAATGTAATTGCCAGATGAGACCTATCAGGAGATGCCCCAAGCCAAGGGGTGTCTGGGTGGATAAGAAATCCACAAGGGTAATAGTTGGCATTCCGGATAACACAGTATTCCCCCACAGCAACAGACTCCATCTCCAGACCTTTGATGATTCTGTCAGCCAGGTGTTCTGCAGAACTCTGCCCTCTCACAGGTCAGACCTCTGAAGTGGGAAGAGGTTATGCATGGTTTGCGAAGGTGATGCCACTCCAGCGATAAGCTCTGCTCTCTCAACTTTGTGGGCCGTTTCCAATGTAATTGCCAGTGAGCTCATGCCACTTCTATGCTCGCTTCGAGGCAAGTAACACCAAAGCATGCATGAGAGCACCAGCTGTTCCGGATTACTATGTGATCACGCTCTCCGTAGCCAATGTGAGTAAGACTTTCAAACAGGTCAACATTCACAAGGCCGCAGGGCCAGACAGATTACCAGGACGTGTACTCCGAGCATGTGCTGACCAACTGGCAAGTGTCTTCACCGACATTTTCAACATGTCCCTGACTGAGTCTGTAATACCAACATGTTTCAAGCAGACCACCATAGTCCCCATGCCCACTAAGGTAACCTGCCTAAGCAGACCACCATAGTCCCCAGGACACTAAGGTAACCTGCCTAAATGACTACCGACCCGTAGCACTACGTCTGTAGCCATGAAGTGCTTTGAAAGGCTGGTCATGGCTCACATCAACACCATTATCCCAGAAACCCTAGACCCACTCCAATTTGCATACCGCCCCAACAGATCCACAGATGATGCAATCTCTATTGCACTCCACACTGCCCTTTCCCACCTGGACAAGAGGAACACCTACGTGAGAATGCTATTTATTGACTACAGCTCAGCATTCAACACCATAGTGCCCTCAAAGCTCATCACTAAGCTAAGGATCCTGGGACTGAACACCTCCCTCTGCAACTGGATCTTGGACTTCTGCCACGCTGATCCTCAACACGGGGGCCCCTCAGGGGTGCGTGCTCAGTCCCCTCCTGTACTCCCTGTTCACCCATGACTGCATGGCCAAGCACGACTCCAACACCATCATTACGTTTGCCGACGACACAACAGTGTTAGGCCTGATCACCGATAACGATGAGACAGCCTATAGGGAGGAGGTCAGAGACCTGGCCGTGTGGAGCCAGGATAACAACCTCTCCCTCAACGTGACTAAGACAAAGGAGATGATTGTGGACTACAGGGAAAAAAAAGAGGACTGAGCACGCCCCCATTCTCATCGACGGGGCTGTAGTAGAACAGGTTGAGAGCTTCCAACGAACTTTCATGGTCCAAACACACCAAGACAGTCGTGAAGAGGGCACAACAAAGCCTATTCCTCCTCAGATCCTCAAAAAGTTCTACAGCTGCACCATCGAGAGCATCCTGACTGGTTGTATCACTGCCTGGTATGGTAACTGCTCAGCCTCCGACCTCAAGACACTACAGAGGGTAGTGCGTACGGCCCAGTACATCACTGGGGCCAAGCTTCCTGCCATCCAGGACCTCTATACCAGGCGGTGTCAGAGGAAGGCCCTCAAAATTGTCAAAGACTCCAGCCACCCTAGTCATAGAATGTTCTCTCTGCTACTGCACGGCAAGCGGTACCGGAGCGCCAAGTCTAGGTCCAAAAGGCTTCTCAACAGCTTCTACCCCCAAGCCATAAGACTCCTGAACAGCTAATCTTGGCTACCCGGACTACTTGCACCCCCACCCCATCTTTTTACGCTGCTGCTACTCTGTTAATTATTTATGCGTAGTCACTTTAACTCTACCCACATGTACATATTACCTCAACTAGCCGGTGCCCCCGCACATTGACACCAGTACCCCCCTGTATATAGCCTCCCTACTGTTATTTTTATTTTACTTCTGCTCTTTTTTTCTCAACACTTTTTTGTTGTTGTTTTATATTATTTTTTTATAAAAAAAATTAATGCATTGTTGGTTAAGGGCTGTAAGTAAGCATTTCACTGTAATGTCTACACCTGTTGTATTCGGCGCATGTGGCAAATAAAATTTGATTTGATTTGATTCCTCCTGTGATAAAGACAAAAAATGAATTTCAGTCATAGGCCCTATCAGGAAACAACCCTTAGTTCCTACTCCCTAGACACTTCTGTAGATTCAGAAGGATTGGATATAGGTATAAGCAAAATGGTAATAACTCCACCTTGCCCATTGATTGGCTGGGTGAAATTGTCGCCATCTTGCTTTTTACCTATCCCTTTTGGATCTACACAAGTGTCTACACTACCGGTCAAAAGTTTTAGAACACCTACTCATTCAAGGGTTTTTCTTTATTTTTACTATTTTCTACATTGTAGAATAATAGTGCAGACATCAAATCACATATGGAATCATGTAGTAACCAAAAAACTAATCAAAATATATTTTATATTTGAGATTCTTCAAATAGCCACCCTTTTCCTTGATGACAGCTTTGCACACGCTTGGCATTCTCTCAACCAGCTTCACCTGGAATGCTTTTCCAACAGTCTTGAAGGAGTAATTTTTTCCCCCTCACATGACTTTATTTCAAGTAGGATAGCAGCCTACACAATAAATAAATAATATTGATAACCATCTAGATATCACCTTGATACAGTACATCTACTACTCAATGGAGAGGGCATGAAAGCACTGGCATAGTGCCGTTTCTCTGGACCCCTGGATACTCACAAAGTATAGAATACTGACCGCTGTCCATGGTTCTGATATTGTGACGTATAAATCAAATGTTATTTTATTGGTCACATGCGCCCAATACAACAGGTGTAGACTTTACAGTGAAATGCTTACTTATGCGCCCGTTCCCAACAGTGTAGAGTAAAATAGTACTAAAAATATTTGCTAAATAAAAAAGGAGATAGTAACACAATAAAAACAATAACGAGGCTATATACAAGGACTACCAGTACTGAGTCAATGTGCAGGGTTACGAGGTAATTGAGGGAATACATGTAGGTAGGTGTAAAAATGACTAGGAAATCAGGATATATAATAAACAGAGTAGCAGCAGCGTATGTGAAGAGTGTGAAAGTGTGTCTGTGTGAGTGTGTGGCGTCAATATATGTGTGTGTGTGTTTTTTGTGTGTGTTAGAGTGTCAGTGTACTATGTGTGAGTGCGTGGGTAGAGTCAAGTGAGTGTGCATAGAGCCAGTGCAAGAGAGTCAGTGCAATTTTTTTGTAGATAAATAAATACATAATAAAGGGGGACAATGTAAATAGTCCGGGTAGCCATTTGATTAACTGTTCAGCAGTCTTATGGCTTGGGGGTAGAAGCTGTTAAAGAGCCTTTTGGTCCCAGACTTGGCGCTCCAGTACCGCTTGCCGTGCTGCAGCAGAGAGAATATGACTTGGATGGCTTGAGTCTTAGACCATTTTTTGGGCCTTCCTCTGACACCGCCTGGTATAGAGGTCCTGGAGGGCAGGGAGTTCGGCCCCAGTGATGCACTGGGCCGTACGTACAACCCTCTGTAGTGCCTTGCGGTCGGATGCCGAGTAGCCAGTCAAGATGCTCTCAATGGTGCAGCTGTATAACTTTTTGAGGATCTCAGGGCCCTTGCCAAGTCTTTTCAGCCTCCTGAGGGGGAATAGGCATTGTCGTGCCCTCTTCACAACTGCGTTGGTGTGTTTGGACCATGATAGGTCCTTAGTGACGTGGACACCGAGGAACTTAAAGATCTCGATCAGTTCCACTACAGCCCCGTCGATGTGAATGGGGGTGTGTTCAGCCCTCCGTTTCCTGTAGTCCACGATAAGCTCCTTTGTCTTGCCCACGTTGAGGGAGAGGTTGTTGTCCTGGCACCACACTGCCAGGTTTCTGACCTCCTCCCTATAGGCTGTCTCATCGTCAGGCCTACCACCGTTGTCATCAGCAAACTTAATGATGGTCTTGGAGTCGTGCCCACCATGCAGTCGTGGGTGAACAGGGAGTACAGGAGCGGACTGAGCACGCACCCCTGAGGGGCCCCCATGTTGAGGGTCAGCGTGGCGGATGTGTTGTTGCCTACCCACGCCACCTGGGGGCAGCCCGTCAGGAAGTCCAGGATCCAGTTGCTGAGGGAGGTGTTTAGTCCCAGGGTCCTTAGCTTAGTGATGAGCTTGGAGGGCACTATGGTGTTGAATGCTGAGATGTAGTCAGTGAACAGCATTCCCCCCCCCCCCCCCCCCCACTCATCTAATCATCTGTCACTATTCTCCAGGGGAGGAAGAAGAAACAGAGCAAGGCCACTATCATTGCCATGCCCGGGCAGTGAGCTCACTCTCCATCCGAGTCCGACCTGATTCACCTAACTGAGAAATGGCCTAATTAGATTCTTCAAAACAATACTGTCTGTCTGACTCTGTCTGACGTCTGACCTACTGCCCATGTAGATTGGACAACACAAACACTTGGCTTGATACATGTGGAAATAAAAAAGTAGGATTACTGTTACAATTATTTATCAAAAAATGTTTAACAATTTAGACATAGGTGTGAGATGAAGGGCGCATGGGCTTGTATTGCATTATTAATTTAGAGGTAAGCTTATAATCACGATCAATAAGATAATGTTGATTAGTTTGGGCTTTAAACGCGCTTGCCGCCACATGACGATCTATCCTGCTGCAAAGTGACTGACAGGTGGCGATTCAATTGTATTGTGGCATTTGCGGGTTTCCCGATCTCATAACTTTATTAGATTCAATAACAAACCGACCAAGAGAGGGAAATAACGTTTTAATGTTACACTGCACAGGGTAACGGGGAGCTGCACAAAACAACAAACCTAGCCTGAACTAGCTAGCCATAAATCACAGTCCAGCAGAGAGATAAACACCAGAGACAGAAAATGTCTCTCCCTACTAGTTATATCCCCACTAAACAATGTGCAGCCTCCCCTTCTATTACCATGACAACCGCATAAACAATGAAAGTGACTGGTTTTACCAGGTTAGGGCAGGGTCTTCCCACCTTACCTCCTGAGGGTCACTACAGTATTAAGAAATGTTTCCAAAAAAGAGGAATGCTAGTCGCAACCCAAGTGTATGACAGACATAACTGCATTATTATTGCTATCCACCAGAGACAGACTTTGAGCTTCATTAGATTACATTTAGCTAACCAGGTAGATAGCTACACAACATGGCCAAAAGTACGTGGACACCCCTTCAAATTAGTGGATTTGGCTATTTCAGCCACACCCGGTGCTGACATGTGTATAAAATTGATCACACAGCCATGCATTCTACATAGACAAACATTGGCAGTAGAATGGCCTTACTGAAGAGCTCAGTGACTTTCAATGTGGCACCGTCATAGGATGCCACCTTTCCAACAAATCAGTTTGTCAGATTTCTGCTAGAGCTGCCCCGGTCAACTGTAAGTGCTGTTATTGTGAAGTGAAAACGTCTAGGAGCAACAACGGCTCAGCTGCGAAGTGGTAGGCCACACAAGCTCACAGAACGGGACCGCCAAGTGCTGAAGCCTGTAGCGTGTAAAAATCGTCTGTCCTCGGTTGCAACACTCACTAACTACCGAGTTCCAAACTGCCTCTGGAAACAACCTTAGCACAAGAACTGTTCGTTGGGAGCTTCATGAAATGGGTTTCCATGGCCTAGCAGCCACACACAAGCCTAAGATCACCATGTGCAATGCCAAGCGTTGGCTGGAGTGGTGTAAAGCTCGCCGCCATTGGACTCAACTGGAGTTATGAATCACACTTCACCATCTGGCAGTCCGACAGACAAATCTGGGTTTGGCGGATGCCAGGAGAACACTACCTGCCCGAATGCATAGTGCCAACTGTAAGTTTGGTGGAGGACCCTTAGTTCCAGTGAAGGGAAATCTTAAAGCTACAGCATACAATGACGTTCTAGACGATTCTGTGCTTCCAACTTTGTGGCAACAGTTTGGGGAAGGCCCTTTCCTGTTTCAGCATGACAATGCCCCCGTGCACAAAGCGAGGTCCATACAGAAATGGTTTGTTGAGATCGGTGTGGTGTCGAGATCGGTGTGGAAGAACTTGACTGGCCTGAACAGAGCCCTGACCTCAACCCCATCGATCGACTGCCAGCCAGGCCTACTCACCAACATCAGTGCCCTACCTCACTAATGCTCTTGTGGCTGAATGGAAGCAAGTCCCTTCAGCAATGTCCCAACATCTAGTGGAATGCCTTCCCAGAAGAGTGGAGGCTGTTATAGCAGCAAAGGGGGTACCAACTCCATATTAATGCCCATGAGTTTGGAATGAGATGTTCGAGGAGCAGGTGTCCACATACATTTGGTCATTTAGTGTATTTCGAGAGTTAAGAAAAGTCTCTACCACGTGCAAAACTGAAAAGCTGCTTAGCTGCTTAGCCAACTCTCGCTTTCCTTTGTAAAATTGTTACGCCGTTCGGAAGAAATCTACAATTTTCACCTCCATTCTTTATGGAAATCGTAGATTGAAGACAATCATTTTATACATCCAGCTGTGAAACCTCGTTTAACGCTAATCGCTAACAGTTTCAACTTCTAGGTAATATGGGCATTATCACATGACTTTCATTGAGCCCCAGTGGCCTAATGGATAAGGCACTGGCCTCCTAAGCCAGGGATTGTGGGTTCGAGTCCCATCTGGGGTGATATCGTTTTTCGAACTACACGTTTGGTGTGAGAATAATAACATGTGGGGCAGATGCATCTCTCAAGCCCGGCCAAATGTCAACATGATTGTTTTTCAGAGAACAGAGTAATTCAAATAATGTCCAAATACATTTTGCGACGTCTGGTTCTATGGTGTAATGGTTAGCACTCTGAATCCAGTGATCCGAGTTCAAATCTCGGTAGAACCTAACATTTTGTCACCACCATGGACTAAATATTATTAATATGTATTCCAACGCACATTTGTCCTACCTATATTTGTGCGGTGTCAGTGCATTCTTGCTAGTTCGATTTTCATTACCTGTGCGCTGCATTATCAAGGTATTTTCCCTTGGCAACCCAACGAGAAGGGATGTAAAGGGTTAATCCAACATGGCGACCTCCGTAGTAAAATGTTTTTTATTCTCTCGATGTTCAGGAATCATTCGGTCCGTTACTCTACAAGGGAAATTGCCCCCTGTGTTTATAAGAAACAGAAACCTCCTCAGCCAATGTCTAAGTTTTAGTTATGGTAACAGAGCGTCTGACAACCCACAGGTTAGTGGATTTAGCAAGGCTACAGACAATCATATCTCTGTCGTACAAGCTGAGAATTCAACACGATATACAGCTACTGTCCTACTAGCTAGGTGAATGTATCAAGTGTACATGCATTGAGCTGTCTACAAATGAATTTGTAACAAGTACCAGTAACTAATTATCAAGATGTCTTGCAGGAAATTAGCTGTTTTAGCAACGCTAAGAGCAGCTAGCTGGAAAGTAGCCTACACGTCACAAGTTGTAGCTAGTTTACCACGGACAGTGTGTGTTGTGGAAGTGCTTGGAGTGATGCTTATTGTTAAGTAGTTATGCGTTGACTGATCGATTCGACTTTTAAATGAATGTCTATATCTGATGCAGGATGGACATGTGAACATTCCAGTCGGTGAGTATAAATATCAAACTATACGTTAGAGAAATGTTATTGTTATTTACCTTTTCACCCTGAATATACGTGTACATAGATATTTTTATTTTATGCTGTCTGTCTAATAGACCGTCTCACAGTATCCTACAGCCGAAGCAGTGGTCCAGGCGGTCAGCATGTTAACAAAGGTAACGTCATCATTAGTATTCACATACCTGTGCCTGCAACCTGGACTTGGGGGTAGACGTAACATAGTTAACCAAAATCCGGGACACTCAAATTAGTATTATATGTTACATATGGTATGATTACATTAAGTATGATATGTTACGAATTTAAATGTGCTGTTAATGTTAGCTAGGTGGCTTACATTAGTTAGGTTAAATGGTTAAGGCAGGGGTTCCCAAACTTGTTTGGCCCACAATCCCATTTTGATATCTGAAAATTCTCATGACCCAACCATGTGAAAAATATGATGTAATTAATAGCCAATGTTAACGTTTTTATTTTTTGGGCTATGGCAGTCAATTAAAAAAAATTCTAACAGTTTCTGATTGTCTTCTAAACTCACAATCACATACTTTTAATGTGGGGCTATGACAGTCAATTATAAATTAGTATGACATAATGTATCTTATCTCACCACCACTAATGAGATGGTTGTGCTTAATGCATGTCGCCTCGGAGCTTCTCAAAGTTAGGGGGCATGGTCCGCAGTGCGCACCTCATCTCTGCTGTCATATCCAACCTGGATCAATATTTGGTTTTAATGCAGATGAGAGCACTGAATCCAGCTTCACACAGATATGAGCTGGCGAAGGGTACCATGAGTTTTATGGTGCTTTTAAGACAACTGGGAACCCGGAAAAATACGAGGTCAAATCATGACGTCAGTGATCTTCAGGTCGGAAAGTCGGAGCTCTAAAAAGAGGCAGAGTTCCCGAATTGGAATACCGAGTTGGATGACCGTTCAGAATGATTTTCCCCTGTTTTTTTCCTGAGTTCCCAGTTGTCTTGAACGCTTTGAAGTCGGAAGTCAGAGATTTCCCAATTCCCAATTGTTTTGAAAGCTGCATTAACCTCAATGGGATCGGTGTCCCTTATACGGGACGGTTGAGCTAACGTGCGCTAATGTGATTAGCAAGACTGTTGTAAGTAACAGCAAACATTCCAGGACATAGACATGTCTTATATTGGGCAGAAAGCTTAAATTCTTGTTAAACTAACTGCACTGTCCAATTTACAGTAGCTACTACAGTGAAAAAATACTGTGCTATTGTTTGAGGAGAGTGCACAACAACACAAAACTTATCACAGCAACTGGTTTGATACATTCACCTCTGAAAGTAAATAATGTACTTGCATTCAGTAATCTTGCTCTGATTTGTCATCCTGAGGGTCCCAGAGATAAAATGTAGCATAGTTTTGTTTGATAAAATCAATTTTTATATTAAAATGTAGGAACTGGGTTCTACAGTTTGAACCCTTGCCGTTTCTGGCTCCACACCCACCCCGCCCGGCCATCTAGATGTTTGAAAGTTAGTGTATAAGCTAATGATCCATCATGTATGATATTCCTGGGAGTGTGTAAACTTAAATTTTTGTATGTTGTATCAATTGACCAATTCGGCACATTTGGGCAGATTTGATACAAAATAGTCCAGTATTGCAATGCTTCACTGGATCAATCTGAAACTTTGCACACACACTGCTTCCATCTGGTGGCCAAAATCTAAATTGAGCCTAAACTGCAATATTATATTGTGGCCTTTCTCTTGCGTTTCAAAGATAATAAAAAACACATGTTTTTTGGTTTGTATTATCTTTTACCAGATCTAATGTGCTATATTCTCCTACATTAATTTCACATTTCCACAAACTTCAGTGTTTCCTTTCAAATAGTATCAAGAATAGGCATATCCTTGCTTCAGGTCCTGAGCTACAGGCAGTTAGATTTGGGTATGTCATTTTAGGCGTAATTTGAAAAAAAGTGTCAGACCCTTAAGAGGTGAATGCTCAGAGGCAGACGGCAGGGTATTCCCTTTGAGTCAGGAACCAAAACTCCTCCGTAGTGACCCGTGAATGTATTCGGTCACATGACAGATCGATCAGCTGTTCGATTTCACTTGTCGGCATGTCAACTGAGCCAGGATCACAGTCAAACGGATTGGGAAGTAGGTCCCAAAGTGCTCTTCCAAGCTTTGGAGGTGAGCAGTCATCACTTGTGTGGGACACTTACTGATGCTGTTTTCTGTTAGAAACGTGCACAGTTGAGGGAAGGGGGCAGGGTTCGCTTTTGAAAGACTGTCTCTCCAATAAGAATGATTTCCATCGAATCCACTGATTCGGTCACTCATCTGTAGAATGTTTTTGTATTTCCCCAGTATGCTTGTGTTCAGTTTCTCAAATATGTCTGTTACATAGGCAAGGAGACACATTTTCTTTTCATTACACGGAAATTCAACCAAGACTTTTTTTTTTTTTACATCCATGGTGAATGACAACAGTTCCCCTTCGATAACCACCAAGCCTCGGTATGAAATAGAACATTGTCATGCTCTGATCCCATATCTCCAGATAGTTTTACGAACAGGCGTACGTGCAGTGGATGTGGTTTGATGTAGTTTACAATTGAAGTTACCTGCTGCAGTATATCTCAGAGTTCTGTGCTCAGCTCTTTTTACATTTTAGTCATTTAGCAGACGCTCTTATCCAGAGCGACTTACAGTTAGTGAGTGCATACATTTCCATCTAAAACATTGATTATGTGGCCTTTAACATTGTGTGGAAGTTATATAGTCTGTATGCATTGTTCATTTATACAGACTATATTTGCAATGCAGTTGGATTTGAAAAGTGTAGCATTTTAATAATAATAATAATGGGTTAAAACAATTTAAACTGTAGTTGCATCATCACCTAATAAAGGAAATTGTGTAGTTTTTAAAATTACCAAATGACTTCACCTGAAAATTGCTGCACCTCCATGATAGGATTTATGGTGTTGTGATATGCAGCTAGTGGGATACAAATGTGTCATTGCAACTTAATACATTTTTGAGTACACCATCGCCATAAGAAATCCATCATTTGATACACCAAAACAAACACTACACGGCATCTACCCAATACTGCCATCTAGTGGTGTAGTATAGAAAGTGGTTATTCATCATCTCCCCAGCTCTCTCCATCAAAAAATGTCAGCCCATTGCTTTTGGAAATTGCTTCTGAAGTCCTCATCAAAGTGTTCAAGGTCTTCTTCCCGGAATATGCCCTTAGATAGATAGCCCAGCAGTTTTGTGGCATGGAGTTTGAGAAGTCTTCGCCTTTCCTCCTCAATGATCTGTCGACGCAATGCCTCCCTCTCCTGTTCGATTGCTCTTTCTTCAGCCTCACGTTCCCTGTCAGCCAGGTACTGCTGTCTCCTGTTCTCCAGCAGTTTCTCCACAGCCCTCTTGTGCTCAAGCTGCTTCATGCGGCGTTTCTGGGCATTCATCTGCTCTATGCGGTCGTCCTCAGCAAACTTTTGCCGCCAGTTGCTCTCAGTGTAATGCGTCCATATGGCAGAGGGAGACACATTAATACCTAGAGTGCAGAGGCCTGCCTGCCTTCCCGCCATAGATGGAGCCCCATCTGTGCAAAAGCCCACCATTCGATCCCAAGGAATCTGTTTTTTGTCAATATAGCCACGCAGCACCCTGAAAATCCCCTGTGCCCTTTCATGCTTGGGAATCGTGAGACAGAACAATATGTCCTCGTGAATAGCATCCCCCAACATGTATAGCAAACAAAAGTCAATACGGGCATCTCGGCCCTCACAGCTAAAGTCCATTTGGAGAGAATAAGGAGGGGAGTTTGAGTCGTTCAGTCAGTTTCCTCTTGATTGATAGCAATAGCATAAATTATTTGTTTAACAGTGTTATCTGACAAAGGTATTGATTAATGTGAGTTTTTGTGCCTCTGCCTCCCCACACATTGTTTTCACCATATCAATTGCGGCCGGTAATATCAAAGTCTCTGCAATAGTGTGTGGTTTCATAACGTAGTGGCCCTAGCCATTCACAATGGGAATTATTCAAGTGCAACGGTCAAGTGCGGCCTTTTCCCATGATCTAAGGGTGCTCTCTGGTTGAATTTTATATTTTATATTAGAATAATCGTCATAATTTTTTAAGGTTAACCACGTTATAATTATTGCATTTTTTTCTTCTGGATTTTAAAAATTCTCCCGCAACCCCATTTTCATATCAGGCGACCACACATGGGGTCGATACCCCTAGTTTGGGAACCTCTGGGTTAGCTAACATGACAAGTAGTTGGTTGCAAAGTAGCGAAGAAGTAGTAAGTATTTGCAAAGTTGCTAAAATGCTAAAGTTGTCCGTGATGAGATTGGAACAACTTTGGGTTTATACATCCACCCCGACCAACCACCCGCCTTTCATTTTTGCCTAATAAGTAACCTTCATTCTTACGAAGGCATACAAAGGTAACATATCCTACTACTTTGAGTGTTCCGGATTTTCGTTTTCTGTTACGTCTAGTCTATGAGACCAGCCTGGGACATCACAATACCATCTAATGCAACTTGGAGTGAGCTGAATAAATTGTTTTGTACAGTCGGTATGAGAGCCTGTTGAAATGGTATTATGATTTACTGTTTGTCTGTGTTCATAGTCAGCACCAAAGCAGAGGTCCGCTTCCACGTATATACAGCAGATTGGATCCCAGAAGACGTTCGACAAAAGATCATCTTAAATGTATGTTAACTATCCCAAAGCAGTCAAAATATAGATGGATTTGTGCCCCTCTATCTTCCCTGAGCACTATCCTCCTGGGCATTTTAAGTAGGATATTGAATGCAGTATGTTTTTACTCTCTCCTCCACTGCAGAATAAAAACCGTATCAACAAGGCAGGGGAGTTGCTGGTGACGTCAGAGCAGAGCAGGAGCCAGCAGAGAAACATGGGGGACTGCATCCAGAAGATCTCTGACATCATAGCCGAGGCCACTGAGACGCCCCACGAGCCTTCAGCAGAGGACATAGCCCTTAGAGCATCCAGGTAGAGAATGACTGCTGTGTGGCTCACGTTCACACCTAGTTGATAAGATAGTTCAACCCAAAATCAATCAAAAATGTACTGCTGTATTCATTTTTCTTCATCTAGCTATATTTATTTCAGTGTTGTGGTGTGTATATTTTAATGTCCAAGTCAGATGGCGTTACTGGATGATTACTAAAGTAAATACATTTGTGTATGTGTTTTGCTCAGGTTAGAGAAGAGGAATAAGGAGAGACTGAAACAGAAGAAGCTCCATTCAGCAGTCAAGCAGACAAGACGAGTGTATTTCGACTGAGGGCCGGACACAGTAACATACGAGGAAACATTAATTCGTTGTCTATTTTCTCGCTTAACCAATAAATTGAACATTTTATTTGTTTTGAAAGTATGAAACGCTTGAGTTTTTGGAAACATGCGGAACTGATTTGAGGTGATTGTTGTGGCATAAATAAAAAATAAAAGCTATTCAATGAACGAGAAAAGAGATCTCTACCTGAAAAGGCAAGTGAGCGGTGAACGGGACGAAAAAACTAGCAGAGGATGGTTTCGATCCATCGACCTCTGGGTTATGGGCCCAGCACGCTTCCGCTGCGCCACTCTGCTATATGACAAACTGAAGCAACATTCTATTCATAAACCTAGCTAGGAACGTGCATATCGTCAGAAGGGAATCCTCGTTAGTTACCACAACTTTAAGAAAAACTATAAATGCTGTGCGGCCGTGTACAGTTTGAGAAATAAGAGCATTTAACTTGTTTACTAACCTATTAGGCTGAATCAGGCCAGCGTCAATTCCTGACATTTTCGCATTCAAACGAACGTAGCTAGCTGCAGATTTGTTGGTGTTATTTATCAAACAAGACATAACTGTTTGTGCAAACATGTTTTATTTTTTGCTCTCTTCATAATGCGTCATGAATCGTGCAAATATCTCAATGGAGAAAAAAGCAACTTCGAAGGGAGAAAAAAAAGCGACCACGAAGGGACTCGAACCCTCAATCTTCTGATTCGAAGTCAGACGCCTTATCCATTAGGCCACGCGGTCTATACAGAGACCATGAAACGCTTCTCATATATATAGGTTTACCACATTGAACAGATCCTCGAACATTATTTTATCTGCTGGCTGGCGCGGGGCGAAATAATATAACGATATAAAAAAGGTACATGCCGTTGACCGGGTCATTAGCGCCTCTTGGTGGATTGATCGGGGATCGTCGGGTCGGGTAAATGACAATCGCACTGAGCTGACCCTGTGTGTGCACCTGCATTAATAATTCCACCAGGCAATTAACATTAGTTAATCAATTAATTTACCTTTAGTATACATTTTATACGCCTACCACCGTAATATAACAATAGCAGCCACAAAGAGACATATTTAAATTCCAATGCTTTAATTGCACAGAGCAGACAAGTTAATCAATGATACAGAAAGCCACAACAAGAATGGTTCTTAGTTCAATGAGCGTTAACATGGCTTGCTACAATGGCAAACCTATGCTGCCAAAGGCTAACTAATATGCTAATAAACCTAATAATATGCTCATCTGAATGTCAAAGGTTGAGTAGATAGCTAAATAAAAACCAAATATGATTTTCATTCTAAAGATACAGTATATCAATAATACAATCACATATAGGCACCATAGCAGATAAGTGTTATCATGAATCAATGCTCACAGACACACACAAGAATGGAATAAATACACAAGTAATAGTAAGTAAATATCCATGTATAAATATGCAAGAAATGAGGCGGCAGAAACATTTTTTTGTCCAAGTGCAATCTGTAAAACATTACAGTACAGAGAAAGCCAAGGAGCCATCAAAGGACAGAGTCAAATGGTTCCATTTTGGCATTGTTCACTCTTATTAGAATATATCAGAACCTTTTCTGTTACCATTGCTATGACACAGTGTCTTTATCTTCTTGCCCTGAAGAGCTACAGGGAGCGCAGGCTTTTGTTACAGTCCAGCAGTACACCTGAATGCTGGGCTGGGACAAAAGCCTGCACAAACTGCGGCCCTCCAGGACCAGGAGTGAACATTGCTATGACAGACTGACAGTAAGCCTCCACAAGACGTCATACCCTTTTTCTTAACTCAGCAACACTTGATTGACCCTGAGAGAAAAAGAAGACTGCTTGGACCTGGCACATTCAACCCTTTATAACACTGTGGAGCAAACAATAAGTTTTACTTTTACAACACCACACCAGCATTGATCTCTCGCCAAATGCTGTGGCTGCTATAATAGGTTTGAAGCTTCAGATGAGTTTAAGACCTTGAGTTAGTTAGCTCTAAGAAAGACATGCTACTTCCTGTATCCTGCAGGTGCATTGTTGTGTACATTTTCTCCTCCCCATATGGTATGGCATTGCAATGTGAGTACATCATTCAAAATAATGCAACCACTATAACATTCATGATAATAAGGAAAGGTGGTTGGAGTGTTGCTAGCCAAGACAGTGGCATTGTTCCTACTGTATTCTGTACGGTGCAATGCTGCATCAGTAGTGTTAGTGTGTAGTTAGTGAGCTGGTTTAGTGTTAACAGACCAGGTTTAATAGTTAGTAATACTGGTGGTGGTTAGGCTATATAATTATCCATCACTTCTGTCTAAATCAACTTTGTCTAAATAGGCTTAACGTTACAATTTGTCTTAGGCTTAACGTTACAATTTGCAATACAATCACAGGGTTTTCCCCACCCCATTTTGTTTGTTGTGGAGGGTGAAAATCATCTACCTGACAATCAATAAACGATATAAATGGAATGAGACAAAAAAATATTGACAGTTTAAAACATCACATTTGACTTGACCATGCGTCAGTTGTACCTTTACCAAACAATATAGTGAGAGTGTTGATAAGGAAACAGAAAAGACAACAATCTGTTTGGATTGTCTGTTGCATCTTGTCAGTACACAGACGGCAGCTATAGTTAGCGCTAGGCTAGTGGACATACCCAGCTACCATTCAATTCCAGGGTTACAGGGGGCACTGCTAGAACAAATTTGGACACCCCCACAAACATGAAATATGAACATTGGTCTTTTTTCAGGACACCCCCAAGAGTCAATGTGTACTTCGAACCCGGTTCCAACCCTGTGACATTCTGACAAGACACTAATTGCCTATGTCTCTCCGGACCTGGAAGGTAAGCATCTCTAGAGTATAAAATACAGTACTAAGGTCACGAGTATACAGTCACAGAGCAGTGCAAGACAAGGTCGCAATGTCCTCTGGGCAGAAAGTCTTACATTTCCTGTTTCGCTTTTGTTGGCATCTGAAGTCCATTGTTCAGGCCGACATTAGGCTATGTAGGCTAGGGAAAAGCACATCAGGGTCTAAAGGTAGAACTTTGAGTTAACTTGTTATTTGTCCAACATGACTTTTGTTTCAGTATAATCCAACGTTTGGAGAATTCAGAGGTCATTGTTGAGGTGGAGAATCAACAGTACCGTTTTTACTGTGAAGCATTGGGAGTTTAGTGCACCTATTCAATCCATGTTCCATGTCCAACAGGTTGTGGGTGATAGGTATTCTACCTGTGAGTTAGCTAGCAAAAGGCAGCTGAAAAAATGTGTTAGATCTCAAGGGCAAAGGTAGGCAGGCCCTAATAGAGGATAGCATTAGCAGTAGATTGGTTTTAGTAGCATATTGGTCGATTGGTACCTAGTAACAGAAGCAGACAGGAGACCATATCCCATATGGAAGTCTACTCATGAGTGCTACACATTGGTAGTGTATGAGGCATGTTGCCCCCTTACAATCTGAAGCGCTTTAAGCATGGAAAAAGCATTATACTACCAAGCCAGTCCACTATCATTCTTATTTACTAGACTTGCCAGACTTGCTGGCTTTAGGGGCTTTGGTGGCTTTGGTAGTTTTGATTTCTGTCTTGGTCTTCTGAATACGGGAGAAGATCTCCTTGAACAGAGCCTTGTACTCTGGCGTGTTCTGGCCCAGCCGTTTATCCACCGCCTCCACCTGCTTAGTGATGCTCTCCATGGCCTCGGGGGTGGAGGGGGACTCGGTGGGGGTGGGCGGGGGTGCAGGGGTGGAGCCCATGGCACAGTCCTTCATGGAGGGGTCCCTGGAGACGGGGCGTGAGGTCTGCACCCCTGTGTGGCACAGGGACTCCTCGTGGCGCCTGCACTTCCCTAACAGCTCCTCATACTTCTCCAGCAGAGCGTGATACTGCTCGTCCACCTCCCTCAGGATGGACATCCCTCTCTTACGGACGCTGTTGGCGTGGATCGCGTAGCTCCCTCTTCTCCTTCCAGACGCGTCCCTGGCTACAATGGCGTTCAGCGCCGTGTCGCTGCAGCTCTTCCTGACGGGGCTGGAGGCAGGTAACGACTCTCCGCCTAAGCCTCCTCCCCCCTCGCCCTCCTCCCTGACCCCTCCACCTACCTCTCCTCCTTCCCCCTCCAGGGTGTCTGTTTCGGGGGTGTTGTTGAGGAGAGTCTGGGTGAAGCCCACGCCGTCGTCCTCGCTGCAAAGGAGGAGGGTCCTTGCCCGTCGGAGCTGCTGGAGTTCCTGGAGCTCTGACTCTAGTTCATGGATCCGTACCTGGCAGCTCTCTGCACCCTGTCAATCAATAAGTCAACGAGTCAATCAGTCAGTCAGTCAGTCAATAAACCAATCAATATTTGTATTCTCCCAGAAAAGAGGGAAAATAAGAAGCCCTACTATATTTGAGTCAGGACAAAGTATCAAAAAGGACACTCATTGGATTCAACTAACTTAGTAGAACATGCAACCATAAAAAAACTTGAGGCACTCATTTTGGAAGATTAAATGGAGTTAAAATAGGAGTGATTCTGACCTGCACGCGTGTCTCCAGACGAGAGAACTCCCCCAGGAGGACATGACACTCTCTCTCCGCCCCCTCCCTGCGACCCCGCTCAGCCCTCACAGCCAAGCGCAGCGCCGACACCGCCTCTCTCAGACGTTCGTTCTCCTCCTCTGCTGGCTGCCGCTTAGCCTCTGAAGTGAAGCTGTCTGAGCGGCCTACCACGAACCCATCCTCATACCTGACAGACAGACAGACAGACAGACAGACAGACAGACAGACAGACAGACAGACAGACAGACAGACAGACAGATACAGACAGAGAGATACAGACAGAGAGATACAGACACACAGATACACACAATATGAGCTAACTTACTTGTACCTGCCAGATAGAGAGACAAGCGCAATATGAGTCAAGCATCCACCTACAAAGCTCCTCTAACATAGTCTAGGGACCTTGAGATCCAGTAATCAAAGATTTGAGTGTGATTGCTTAACTAAATAAAAATTGTTGAGTAGGCTACTGAACAAAGGGAGAGGTAGGAGACTATGAGCCCTCACTTGGGTGCGGTGCAGAGTTCCCTGAGGCAAGGGAAGGAGGCGATGGTCTTGCGTCGTTCCCGCTTCTCCCTCCGGACCCTGAGCTGCTCCAGGGAGTGGAGCTGTTCCACCTGCCCAGAGAGAGACTCCACCTGGGTCTGTAGGGTCTCGATGGTCCCTGTCAACCTGCGAGAACCAGGGAAGAGAGATAGGGGGATAGTGTGTGTGTGTGTGTCTGTGTGTGTGTGTGTGTGTGTTTGTATGTGTGTGTGACACTCACCTCTCTATCTTGTGTTGCGAGGCCTTACTGTCCAGAACCAGTGTATGGTTGGTGAGCTCTAGTTCTCTGGCTGTCCCGTCTAGCTGCTCGTACACCTTAGCATGCTGCTCATTCATTTCCCTCAGCACCTCTAGCTGCTTAGCCAGGTACTGCACAAGAGACACACATACTGTATGTTTATATCCTGTACACACATATACATACATACACACATGATCATAAACAGAGGAACATTTGGGGTCATGTTCCCCTACCCAATCCTAACCGAAGCCATTAGGGGGATGGACACTTTCCGACCATAGTATCACTGGTTAAGGGAGACACTTCTATCCACTCCGCTGCCTATGGTCCTCTGTTAACTCTAAAACCCCTTGGTTGTGAACAGTGAACCATTTTAATGGGGTGATGTACTGCTATGCTAAGATCAGCCAGCAGAGCCAACGTCCTACATCACCTGACTCTGCTCAGTCAGAGGGACAGGTAGGTTGTTATCCAATCTACACCTTACTTATGGGTAGGGGTTACGTTAGAGTTTAGTCTATTGAGATGTATCCATGGAGCTGTTGAGACTTGGCTCTCGTCTTACCTCGATCTCCTGCACCTGCTCCTCATTGGTGATGTACATCTGCTGTAGAGAATCCTCCAGCTCCTTGTTCCTCTCTAACAGAGTCTTCCCCAGCTCCGCCGCCAGGTGGAGGTCTAGAGAGAGAGAGGGAGGGAGGGAGAGAGAGAGAGAGAGAGAGAAAAGGAGGGGGATGGAAGGAGGGATAAAGAGAGGGGTGGGAGGGAGGGGAGAGAGAGATGAGTGATGGAGAGGGCCATGGGAGATGGAGAGGGAGATAGGTTGGAGGGAGCGAGCGAGGGGGGGAGAAAAAGAGATGGTTAGTTTTGAGAGCTCAGCTGTAACAAATTATCTAAATAAGACAGCATTAGGAAGAGGTTTTCCTTTGCTAGTTAGATGGAACCAAAGCTATGAGTGATGTCAGTGAAGATACAAAATATAGAATTTCAGTCTGCACTGGTCCCCATGACAGCCACAGTAGAACGCATTGTTCATACTGTTCCATGTTTTAATCTACAATCATGATGATTCACTGAGGAATAGATCACAGTTCTATTTTCAGCAGGGTTTTAAGAACATCTGCAAATAGGACAATCAAACATTAAAACATTCCTCCTGAGATACATCCTGTGATACGTACACAGAGATAAACAAGATCATCCTGGACCTAGACAGAAGAGAGGGAGACAAAGAAAGAGGGATTGAGAGATGGAGAAAGGGAGTATTCAGGAGAGAGAGAGAATTATAAAAAGAGCCCATCTAGGCACCATGTCTCTCCCTAAAGATGTATTTCCTCTATTTTTACCCTTGTATCTCTGTCAGTGAACGTCACTGATGTGTGCCAAGTTCAAAAGACAAGACACCACCGCTCCACAGAAACTATATGACAGAAAGAGGATCTGCAGTCTCTCTGCAGTGGGGTGGAGGAGGTTTGAATGTGTAAAAAGTGACAAGTTATGAAATTGAGTGTGGGCTCAAAAAAAATGTGTAGGCATGTACACTCTGGAACAGAGTTGAAAAACACTGTTCTAGTAGTGTAACAATAAATGGCACTGACACTCAGTCTAGACAGAGAATACTACTCTCTCTCATTTTATGGAAATCATCTACTGAACAAAATATTAACGCAACATGTAAAGTGTTGGTCCCATGTTTCATGAGCTGAAATAAAAGATCACAGACATTTTCCAATAGGCAAATTTCTCTCAAATGTTGTACACACATTTGTTTACATCCCTGTTAGTGAGCATTTATCCTTTGCCAAGATAATCTATCCACTTGACAGGTGTGGCATATCAAGAAGCTGATTAAACAGCATGATCGTTACACAGGTGCACCTTTTTTTTTTTTTTTTTTTTTTTGTCATTTAGCAGACGCTCTTATCCAGAGCGACTTACAGGAGCAATTAGGGTTAAGTGCCTTGCTCAAGGGCACATCGACAGACTTTTCACCTAGTTGGCTCGGGGATTAGAACCAGCGACCTTTCGGTTACTGGCACAACGCTCTTACCCACTAAGCTACCTGCCACCTTGTGTTGGGGGCAATAAAAGGCCACTCTAAAATGTGCAGTTTTGTCAACACAATGCCACAAGTTTTGAGAGAGCATGCAACTGAAATGCTGACGGCAGGAATGGCCACCAGCGCTGTTGTCAGAAAATGTCAGGTTCATTTCTTTGAGGAAAGCCAGTATGCGTGTTTGCGCTCAGGCAAGAATGAAAGGCGGCCAGAGCGTGGGAGAGAAAATATCTTAAGAGTTCAAAAAGTACTCGCACTCAAAACCATAAAGAGGAATAACCCAATAAGGCTGAGATGCAAAAATAATATGATAAATGTAATCCAGTGAAAGTGCAAGGTGCTATATAAAAAAAGGATATACAGTACTAGTCAAAAGTTTGGACACACCTACTCATTCCAGGGTTTTTCTTTATTTGTACTATTTTCTACATTGTAGAATAATAGTGAAGACATCAAAACTATGAAATAACACATACGGAATCATATAGTAACATTTACATTTACATTTTACATTTTAGTCATTTAGCAGACGCTCTTATCCAGAGCGACTTACAGTTAGTGAATACATATTTTTTTATACACTCAGGAGACTGCGCCACTCAGGAGACTGCAAAAACGTGTTAAACAAATCAAAATATATGTTATATTTGAGATTCTTCAAAGTAGCCACCCTTTGCCTTGATGACAGCTTTGCACACTCTTGGGATTCTCTCAACCAGCTTCATGATGTAGTCACCTGGAATGCATTTCAATTAACAGGTGTGCCTTGTTAAAAGTTCATTTGTGGAATTTATTTCCTTCTTAATGCGTTTGAGCCAATCAGTTGTGTTGTGACAAGGTAGGGGTGGTATACAGAATATATCCCTATTTGGTAAAAGACCAAGTCCATATTATGGCAAGAACAGCTCAAATAAGCAAAGAGAAAAGACAGTCCATCACTACTTTAAGACATGAAGGTCAGTCAATACGGAACATTTCAAGAACTTTGAAAGTTTCTTCAAGTGCAGTCGCAAAAACCATCAAGCGCTACGATGAAACTGGCTCTCAGGAAAGGAAGACCCAGAGTTACCTCTGCTGCAGAGGATAAGTTCATTAGAGTTAACTGCACCTCAGATTGCAGCCCAAATAAATGCTTTACAGAGTTCAAGTAACAGACACATCTCAACATCAACTGTTCAGAGGAGATTGCATGAATCAGGCCTTCATGGTCGAATTGCTGCAAAGAATCCACTACTAAAAGGACACCAATAATAAGAAGAGATTTGCTTGGGCTAAGAAACACGAGCAATGGACATTAGACCGGTGGAAATCTGTCCTTTGCTCTGATGAGTCCAAATTGGAGATTTTTTGTTCTAACCGCCGTGTCTTTGTGAGAAACGGAGTAGGTGAACGGATGATCTCCGCATGTGTGGTTCCCACCAAGAAGCATGGAGGAGGAGGTGTGATGGTGCTTTGTTGGTGACACTGTCGGTGATTTCTTTAGAATTCAAGGCACACTTAACCAGCATGGCTACCACAGCATTCTGCAGTGATACGCCATCCCATCTGGTTTGCGCTTAGTGGGACTATTATTTGTTTTCAACAGGACAATGACCCAAGATACACCTCCAGGCTGTGTTAGGGCTATTTGACCAAGAAGGAGAGTCATGGAGTGCTGCATCAGATGACCTGGCCTCCACAATCACCCGACCTCAACCCAATTGAGATGGTTTGGGATGAGTTGGACCGCAGAGTGAAGGAAAAGCAGCCAACAAGTGCTCAGCATATGTGGGAACTCCTTCAAGACTGTTGGAAAAGCATTCCTCATGAAGCTGGTTGAGAGAATGCCAAGAGTGTGCAAAGCTGACATCAAGGAAAAGGGTGGCTACTTTGAAGAATATATTTTCATTTGTTTAACACTTTTTTGGTTACTACATGATTCCTTATGTGTTATTTCATAGTTTTGATGTCTTCACTAATATTCTACAATGTAGAAAATAGTAAAAATAAAGAAAAACCCTTGAATGAGCAGGTGTGTCCAAACTTTTGACTGGTACTGTATATAAAAAATATACAAATTTCTTTACCATAATGTCGTTTTAGAGAATTTGGCAGTCTGTCCAACCGGCCTCACAACCGCAGACCACATGTAACCACGCCAGCCCATGACCGCCACATCCGGCTTCTTCACCTGCGGGATCATCTGAGACTAGCCACCCGGACAGCTGATGAAACTGTGGGTTTGCACAACCAAATAATTTCTGCACAAACTGTCAGACAACCGTCTCAGGGAAGCTAATTTGTGTGCTCATTGTCCTCACCAGGGTCTTGACCTGACTGCAGTTTGGAGTCGTAACCGACTTTAGTGGGCAACCGCTCACCTTTGATGGCCACTGGTATGCTGGAGAAGTGTGCTCATCATGGATGAATCCCTGGGCAGATGGCAGACAGCGTAGCATGTATGGCGTCGTGTGAGCGAGCGGTTTGCTTATGTCAACGTTGTGAACAGAGTGCCCCATGGTGGCAGTGGGGTTATGTTGTGGGCAGGCATAAGTTACGGACAACGAACACATTTGCATTTTATCGATGGCAATTTGAATGCACAGAGATACCGTGACGAGATCCTGAGGCTATTCATCCACCGCCATCAACTCATGTTTTAGCATGATAATACACGGCCCCATGTCGCAAGCATCTGTACACAATTCCTGGAAGCTGACTCATCAGACATGTCACCCATTTAGCATGTTTGGGATGCTCTGGATTGACATGTACGACAGTGTATTCCAGTTCACCCCAATATCCAGCAACTTCGCACAGCCATTGAAGAGGAGTGGGACAACATTCCACAGGGCACAATCATCAGCCTGATCAACTCTATGCGAAGGAGATGTGTCGCTGCATGAGGCAAATGGTGGTCACACCAGATACTGACTGGCTTTCTGATCCACGCCCCTACCTTTTTTTAAAGGTATCTGTGACCAACAGATGCATATCTGTATTCCCAGTAATGTGAAATCCATAGCCTAGGGCCTAATGAATTTATTTCAATTGACTGATTTTCTTATATGACCTGTAACTCAGTAAAATATTTGAAACTGTTGCATGTTGCGTTTATATTATATATATATATATAGTCTGGTTCAGAGTGGGGGAAAAAACGAAATGAGAGATATTCAAAGTGATGTGGGACCATTAGGGGCCTAGCCAAACTGGAGTGGGCTGCACTGTATTCTGAGTAAGCAGGATAAATAGTCTATATTTTCATGTCTGACTCAGCAGCGAGATGTGTTTTGGGACCTGTGGTCATATCTGAGAGGGAAAACACACAACAGCTCGATGGAAACACAATCACTCTTGATGGAGAGGCAGAGCTGACAACAAGATAAGGTTGAGGAGAATGATGCACACTGTGATTACTGATCAATACTCCAGTCGATCGATAACAAACGTTCATTCCATTAATCTGACCTCTGGCCTTCAATGAGAGATGATATACTGTATGTTTGTTGTTTTTAATTGTGTCCAGAAAGAATCTGCGTGATCTTAAGCAAATCTTAATAAATTCGTAACATATTGCACGAATTGGATTTGTAACATATCACACAAATTGCAAAATTCGTATGATATCATATGAATTGCCAACCTATCCATTTAAGAGGGAGTGGTGCTTCCATTCAGCTGCTCGAGAGTAATATGTTACAATGTTTGAAATGTTTGTTTTTTATAGTTGTTGTTTTTTTGTCGCACTGCATACATTTCATTCTCTTTTAAGGGATTAAGCATGGCTCTGATAACGATGGATTGTACAAACGTTTTGGAATACTCATCGCATTTTCTACGGATTTACAAAAGAACATGCACCGCATATCCGAGACAAACCTCTGTGTTTCGTGATAATGCGCGCAAGAAACCGGGTGAGATGGACTACAGCTGGTAAGGGCAGACGGAGGAAAATACTGACAATAGAAGGTAACAGACCTAAAATACGTATAAAACACAATCGCTCACGTGAATGCAGAGTTCTAACTGAATTATGTGATGTCACAAATACATCCAAAAATGCCCTAGAGACTCCGAATGTGCTTGTTTGTAATTCAAGATCATTGACAAACAAAGTGGATGAATTTGAACTGCTTCTTCAATCAGTAAATGCAGACATTGGATGTGTCACTGAAACATGGGCCCACCAAAACATCCCAGATGAATCTATTTTCAGAAATGACAGGTACTGAGAAGGGATGAGAGGAGGGGGCTTGGCTATGTATGTGAATCACAGTATGCAGGCAAAGAGAAGAACTGACCTAGAGAAAGAGGAGTTTGAGTGTATGTGGCTTCAGCTTCGTCCTAAACGACACCCCAGCTCAGTTTCAACTCTGGTAGGATGTCTGGTAACCCAGAACAGAAAGGAGGCCTTGGCACAATGTATGGCCAGTACTGACTGGTCTGCCATATGAGGTGGAGAGCATCGATGCAAAGGTGGAGAAGTTCAACTCCTGCATTCAAACTGCACTTGATGTATGCATGTCAATAAGAAATGTGTGTCCCATACCTAAAGTGTCAAACCCATGTACAACAAATGACTGGAGACCCATCTCTCTAACTTCATGCCTTGGAAAAATCCAGAAGAGCTTCATCATAAAAAAACTAATGCCAACAGTTCTATCGGAGTACACAAATCAGTATGCCTACCTCCCAAAGTCCAGCACTACTACCGCCCTTGTGAAAGCCAATGGTGAGGGTGTTACTTGCTGATATGTCCAAAGCCTTCGATCGAGTAGATCACGCAACGCTCCTGCAACATCTGTCTGACATTGAACTGTGTCCAAGGTTACTAGCCTGACTCCACAGCTACACCACCAGAAGAAGGCAGAGGGTGATGGCAAATGGCACATTTAGCCCTTGGTCAGAGGCCACCTCTGGTGTGCCATAAGGGGGTGTGGTTTCACCATATCTGTTTCTCCTTCACATGTCCACCCGAAAAGTTGTCTTCAGTGACACTCTGGACACTGGGTATGCAGACGATGTAGGGCTGTCCCGAGCCATACCATTAACCAGCATCCAAGAGGACACTTCCATGGGCTTGGAGGCAAAGCAGCTGGAAGAGTGGGCCACATCCAACAACATGCTCCTGAATGGGAAAAAGTCTGTGGAAATTCGGATATGTTTTTCTAGAGACCATCCACAACCTGCACCACTAATCCTAGGAGGACAGGAAGTACCAGTGGTAACAACAACCAAGTATCTTGGTTTTCATCTAACCTCTGTGTTGACACACATGTGGAGCAGTCAGTGAAGAAGGCCTCAAAACGCCAGCACCTTTTGACTGTTCTTGCCAGAAATGGCCTACCCACTGAAGATCTGGTCACAGTATACACTACACTGGTCAGGACTTGTCTGGAATACGGTGGAGTGCTGTTAGTTGGATGCCGTAATAAGCAGCAGGCCCAACTAGACAGGGTGCAGAGGAGGGCCTTGAGGATAATCTCCAGAGGTGGAGCAGTCCAACCACAGCTCCCGTCACCGCAGAACAGGCAAGAGCAGGCTGCACTGCACCTGGTGAAGGACATGCACACTCTTAACCATCCACTGAACGACCTGCTCCCTCCAAAAAGAGTTAACTGCACCACCAGGCTCCTGAGAAACAGCCACGAACTGTCCTGTATAACTGCCCGTACGAACCGCCTGCGAAACGCCACTCTACCCACTGCTGTTAGACTGTATAATAATTCTATTTTTTTCCAATCACATTTTAACATTTCAATTTCCGTCATGAAAAATGTCCTGTAATGTTTCAAGTGTTCTGTATTCTATTTATGTCACGTAATATGTGTTGTATATTTTTAATGAGTGTTTTGCAATTATTTGTAATATAAATTCTGCATTTCTTCAGTTTTATCTGTGAGCAATAATAAATAAACTCAAACTTCAAACAGAAGCGATGTCAAACTAACTGCTGACCAGGCAAGCTGAAACACAAACACACACAAACTCATTCTGTGTTTTTTTCCAGGGGAAGTTTAAGGTGCGTGTCAAAGCCAGTGAGATGGTTGGGGAGGAACATGTGTGTAATCTGGAGCAGGGTGACAAAAAGGGGAAGATGAGAGTCAAACCAACAACCTTTAGCACAGCTCTAAACATCAATGCTGAAGTGCTCTGTAAAACACACACTCACATCATTTAGTTCCAGCGCTTGCTTTTCAACCATGCTGTTTCCTCTCTCTTGTTGTCCTGTCTTGCCTCAATTAAACTAATGAGGAGAAAAGCAGGCTGCTGCCAGCTCCTGCTCAGCATGGGCTAATACAAAGACCTGCCTGCTGCACTCACAGCTAAATTAACGCCTGTGGGGCCTTTGCTACTACACAGGTACCACAGAATGGGCTTTAACCCTTTGAGGACTATGTACATCATATTTAATCCTCTGTTGAACGTTACTTAACCAATTCTTATTTTATGACTGCTAATTACCATTCCAATTTAAATTATATGGTCAATTCAATCCATTCTGAATGATAGCGTTCAGGAAGAGAACACTAAGTCACTCCTCAAAGGGTTAAACTCGCTAACAATGAGGAGGCTGCTTCAGTCATAGAAATATAATCTCTAGTTATGTAGCTTCAGTGCTGTCCCACTGCTCGGTTAGAATAGGGCAGTCTGAAAAAAGAATAGTGTAGAATAGAATAGGGCTTGTTAAAATGGGGCTAAGGGAGCATTATAGAACATAATTAGCCATTTTAGAAAGACATCCACTGAGTGTACAAAACATTAGGAACACCTTCCTAATATGAGTTGCACACCCTTTTACCCTCAGAACAGTCTCAATTCATCAGGGCAAGGCTAACAAGGTGTCAAAAGTGTTCCACAGGGACGCTTCCCACAGTTGTGTCAAGTTGGCAGGATGTCTTTGGGTGGTGGACCATTCTTGATACTCACGGGAAACTATTGAGCTTGAAAAACCCAGAAGTGTTGCAGTTCTTGACACACTCAAACCAGTTCACCTGGCACCTACTACCCCGTTCAAAGGCACTTAAATGTTTTGTCTTTCCCATTCACCCTCAATGGCACACATACACAATCCGTCTCAAGGCTTACAAATCCTTAATTAACATCACTGATTGAAGTGGATTTGACAGGTGACATCAATAAGGGATCATAGCTTCCACCGGGATTCACCTGGTCATGGAAAGAGCATGAGTTCCTAATGTTTTGTACACTCAGTGTAGAAAGACAATATTTCACCCAAATGTCATGGGATAATATAAAACTATATTTGTTGTAACATGTGGTATGTTCAGAGATTTGTTTCAGTTTTCTCCAGTTTTCTGCATCCACAAACAAGGATGGGCCACATCTGAAGGGGGAGCAAAATTTAACACAACACAGGAGGACCAGTTTGCTCTGGATTAAATGTTTTGAGAAACTGGGCCCTGGATAGCATTACTCTCATAAATCCTCTTGGCTTTTATTCCAAGAGGGGAAATTGAATTATGTAAACATCTAAGCTCTGCTGCTGGCCACTGTACGCCAGATCTCCTAGCTTTCAAACAGCAGAACTCAGAACCAAATACTGCCTGGAAAAAACACAGAACCCAAACACTGACCCACTGTTTACGTTCACCATCGTCCACTGCTGTGTGGTATTGGTATCTAATGGCGAGAGAGAGAAAGGGGCAAGCACTGTTTCTCTGCACCAAACATCCTAATCAATACCCTCTACAGACCACTAGCTCCAAACAAGGAGACCAGGAAGTCAACTGACGCATGAAGGATGACATCACCACCCAGACCCAATGACTCAGACATAATGGAATGAATTATGTGCATTTCCTGGATATTGTTTTTCCAGGTTTTATTTTTTCATGTTTTAGCAGTATCAGTTACACTGACTGGGGGATGTCTTCTTGAGGGCCTAAGCAGGAACACACATTGGCTGCATGCATACTGGCGGGAAATGCTTTTGTAGGGTGAAGAGGGTACATATTGTCGTTAGGGGAAGGGTCACACTCCTGTCACAACCCACACACACAGGCACACTGTAAAAAAATATATAGTTGTTTCAACTACATATTATTAAGTAACTGTTTCCACAGACTTTTTTTCATTTACTCCACTTTTCGGTCAGTGTTACCTGAACTTAACATTTTTAGTTGGCCCACACTTAGCTCCAACATGAGAAAATGTAGGCAAAAATTCAGTCAACTTAAAATTCTGTTTGCTCAAATTGTCTCATGTTCATTCAACTAGAAATTATTATTTGGGCATCTTACCTAAAGAGGGCTGTGGAACTAGTTACACACACAGTGCTTTTAACATACAATTCTTTCAACTTACATGTTTACATTGTGCATGTTCATTTATACAGTAATTCATATTCAAAATGTCCTCACCTGGGATTTGAACTCAAAACCTCTTGGTTCACAGCATTCCAATTTTCCTGCTACGCCACCATGTCTGTGTCAACAACTGATTTCACCTGTATTGCTACACTTTGCACTTAAATCAGCTCTGTTAAAAGTACACTCAAGAAAAACGATTTTAAGGAGTAACATTAAAAGAGAGTAATATGCCCCACCAACAGACAACTATACAGAAAAACCCGAAAATTGCTTAAATAAGTAAATCAAATCAATGATGAATGGTCAGACATGGTGGAACAATGGTGGAACAAGCTCCCCCACGACGTCAGGACAGCGGAGTCACTGACCACCTTCCGGAGACACTTGAAACCCTACCTCTTTAAGGAATACCTAGAATAGTATAAAGTAATCCTTCTTCCCCCACCCCCCCCATAAAAAAAAGAAAAGATAAAAAAGTGGTTGTCTCACTGGCTATCATAAGTTGAATGCACCAATTTGTAAGTCGCTCTGGATAAGAGAGTCTGCTAAATTATGTAAATGTAACATGGTGGCGTAGCAGGAAGATTGGAACACCATGAACCTAGAGGTTCTAAGTTCAAATCCCAGGTGTTGACAAATAACTGAACATACACAATGTTATCATTTACGTCACATATGTAATTAGAAAATGTTGTATGTTAACAGCACAGTATGTATAACCAGCTGCACAGCACTTTTTAGTTAAGATGCACAAACAATACATTCTAGTTGAATGAACATGAGACAAGTTGAGCAAAACACAATTTTAAATTGACTGAATTTTTGCCTACGTTTTCTCAAGTTGGAGCTAAGTTTGGGCCAACATTCTTTTTGTTTGTTCAGGTAACACTTTCACCGAAAAGTTGAGTAAACTAAAAAGGCTGTGGAACCAGTTACTTAATAATAATTACTTGAAACAACTAGATTTGTGGGTGTTTTTTTTACAGTGCAGGCACAAGCGTGCACACACACACATATACGAACACACTGTACTGTCTGGGTATGATAGCCACAGTCCGAGCCCTGTAATCAAATCAGCTGGGGCTTAGTGCTGGGGAATCAAACATTGAAACAGAACAACACAGAACTGTTGGCTGAAAAAATACTGTAATAAAACTGTAATGTGTGTGTGTGTGCGTGTATGTGTGTGTGTGTGTGTGTGTGTGTGTGTGTATGTGTGTGTGTGTGTGTGTGTGTGTGCATGTGTACAGTGCACTCGTGAAAGGAAACATGCCTGGTTTGGAATATGCCTGTCCTTTTTGAGCAGTGAATGTTGTTTTTGTAGGTGCATATCTCCAATAGGATTCACAGGAATCTGGAAAACAGGGCCTCTCCTTGTTTTCTCCTCCTTCTCTCCTTCCTTCTTTCCTTTTCTGCAGATAAGCTGTATAGCAGACCAAACCCTTCCGTACGACTTCACTGCAGTAGTAAGCTCAAATTCTGTATAAAAATGATTAAACACAAGTTTTAGTCTGCAGGATAACAAGGAAACAAAGTGTGTATTTAAAGCCTTAGAGAGGTGGTTGTTGAAGCGTTTTTACGCTGCATGTAAAAAGAGCAGGTCCGTGGTATAACAACCCTCTCATTAGATGTAAGTCCAGCCCTGTTAACCAATGGGTCCCAACAGGCCTAAAGACTCAGCTGTGCTGGTCACATAGCTTCAGCTGAGCACAGAGTTCGGGCTAGAACAAGCCTTGGTCTGTCTTACAAAGGGTTCCATACACTGGTTCCAAAAGGGTTCTTCGGTTGTCTCCATAGGACAGGGGTGTCAAACTCATTCCATGGAGGGCCTAGTTTCTGCAGGTTTTTGGTTTTTCCTTTCAATTAAGACCTAGACAACCAGGTGTGGAGAGTTCTTTACTAATTAGTGACCTTAATTAATCAGTCAAGTACAAGGGAGGAGCGAAGAATCCGCAGACACTCAGCCTTACGTAGAATGAGTTTGAGACATGTGCCATAGGAGAACCCTTTTTGGTTCCAGGTAGAACCCTTTTGGGTTCCATGTAGAACCCTCTGTGGAAAGGGTTCTACATCAAACCCAAAAGGGTTCTACCTGGAACCAAATGGTTTCTACCAGGAACCAAAAAGGGTTATTCAAAGGGTTCTCCTATGGGGACAGCTGAAGAACCCCGTCGGGTTCTAGATAGCACCTTTTTTTCTAAGAGTGTAGAAAAGCATTATAATTTATATGTTTTTCTCCTCAGTGTAATTATGCATGGAAATGTCTGAGTCTGTGTACTGTAGATGCATCATGTTTGCTGATTCCTTACAGTATAGAAAAGCAAATTGCCTCGTTGCATCATCAAATGTCTGCCTTGCTTAGCTTATGAAATTTGCTTAGATGCTATGCATGAAAGTTTCCTTTCTTGATCTTTTTTTTATTTTTTTTACCATATCTCATTCTGCCAAACCCTGTGGCCAAATAGCACCCCTGATGATGGAGCCTGTGCCTCTGTCTGCAGGGTAATCCAATGCCAGCGGTGTGTTCTCCTCTCTGATAGATTACTGGCACCTCACAGTATCACTACCAGAGGTGAGCTCAGCATTCTAAGCTAACACAAAATACAACACCTGGCACTGCTCTGAGAGGCCAGGAACACTGTGTGCCATGGGGCACAAAGAATACAGGCTGCACCAGAGGGATGTAAAGGGAGGGAGGGTGGATGCAGAGAGAGTGGTAGATACATGGAGAGACATGGGCCTTGTGCTCTTTTTAGCTTTCTCCCCTCTCTCTCATATCTCATCCTGTCATACCGTAATCTTCTACTGTCTCTCTTTCTCCACCACTCTGTATTCTTCCTTTCCCTCCCTCTCTCTCTTTCTGAGTAAAGTGAAGACTCATCAGCCTATATTTTTATCTTCAGGTCTATTGATGTGTCCACACACTCAGTTCCCCCTCCAGCCCTCTCTCCTCTCACAGTGCCAGTGTGTGTAAAGTGTGTGTTAAGCGTGTGTATAGTGTGTCTGTGTGCATAAAGTCAGATCAAGAGCAGCGTCAAAGCATTACATCATCTCCTCTCAGCCTGTGGCAGATATCCTAATAATTGGAACAAAGAGATGAAGTGATAGAGAGATTAGGGATGAGCGTGGAGTGAAAAAGAGAGGATTGCAGGGAGCGAGGGAAAATAGATAGAGAGAGAGGAACAGAGAGAGAGAGGGTAAGAGCCAGGGAGCAAGGCAGAGAGAAAAAGAGTCATGGAGTGAGGAAGGGAGAGAGTAGGGAAGAGGGAAGAGATGAAATAGCCCTACATCTGTCAAGAAGTTCAAAGCAGTTTGACAAGCTGTGATTGGCTACAGCTCAGCAGATACATTATCAGCAGCTTGGGATATTGAATATGCATCTAAATTAGTGTAATCCAAAATGAAGCTTATTGTGCCAACAGCATTAAAATCGAATTCAGACTAATAGTGGTTCCGCTGAATTATGGCATTATGCAATCTATATAGTACAGTATGAAGGCACAGATAAAGTAGGTTATTATTATGCAAATATTATTGCAGTAGCCTAGTCAACTACCATCCAGGCCTTGTGCATCACCTCCGTTCCACATTAATTCTATGGGACCATACTATCTTTGGAGAATAGCCTAGTGATTGAAAATAGTTATTTACACTATTCCAGTGGATATGCAAGTCAAGCATGTTTCCTGTCTGTGTTGGCCCCCATGTATGTTCTTTGTCCCAACCATTCACTTTCTTGTTTAAATGATATGTTCCTTGTTTATTGAATTATGGGGAGTTGAACATGACAGTCTACTGGCTGTGAAAGTCACTACATTCTAAAAGGAAAACATAATATGTCATGATTGAATTAGGAAATCAATACAACCTAATTGACTGCATAAACAAGGTTAAGTGCTATAGGAAGCCCTGCACTATTCCATTAATGTTATGTTCATGTTGTGAAAAGAGGTAAGAAGATGGGGTTAAAGGTTATAGTCCCCTAAAGTGGTGGTCAATTTGCATTAGCCTAAAGGCAAATGCTGCCAATGTCAATTAGGCCTACAACATTTTATGAGACAATGGATGTTAGTGCAAATAAATGCATTTTGCACACAAAAAATGTTTGAGAAGTTGATGTAAGCTTGCTCATTATTGCAACCTACAAAGAACAATTACATTGCAATGATGACAGCTGACATCTATTGCCTTCTATTTATTGTTCCTGTACTAACCCATTGTTTAAAATCACCAACAGAACACTGGGTCCAGCCAGCATCGTGTATGTGTTTTTTCTTGCAATGTGACAACAACCACAGAAGGAAACGATTTTTCCCATCACCGTCACAAAGGCCCTTGGCATCCATCCCTTCCAAAGCATTGTTGTCAGAAAGTAGCAAAAGATTCAAGTGCGGTAGCACATTTGAAAAGCATTGGTATTTTTATTTGTCAAGACGCACGGACAAATGTAACATCGCATGCTGATCTAGAAGCCTTCCGTCATCAAAAAGTCCTTTGTTTGAGGAAAACAGCTGAACTCACCAAAAACGAAAGTGCATTGACATTGCAGATGCGGCTGGCTGCAAACGGCGGCCCCAGAAATGCGTCGCCACTTACCAGATTCGAGATCTTGCTGGTCGTACCATGGCTCTTCCTCCTCGGTGACAAATTCCTCCATTCCTAGCATCGAGAAACGGATACTCCCACCCGCCTTGTCCTGCAGCCCATAAAAGACTATGTTACAAACCGGGTCCACAGTCAGACACACATACACTCACTGTCCCTCCCGCCCGCCTCTGGAATAACATTAGCAACTGCCGCCACACTGGAATGAGGAGAGAGCTGTGACGTTAACCGCTTCGAGGCAGATGAAGCAGGCTAAACAACGTGGGTTTATTCGTGGCAGCAGTCACTCAGACCCACAAAACACCGCCAAACAACCTTCTCAAGATAGGGGGTTGTTTCAGTTTTTAAACGAAACAAAATGACACAAACACAAGAGACTCGAACACTGCTTTAAAACATCCAGTCTGAATTGCCCAATTATTGTTTCTTATAGGGGACTTGTTTGGTCTCAAATAAAACTGGGCTGTTGACACTTGTGCGTTTCCCACCTCTCTCTCACCCCTTGTCGCATCCTGTTCCAAAGACCGCTAGAGAGAGGCTGTGTAGGCTAGACGTGGCAGACGTCGCAATAGTCTCTCTCCCTCCTGTCTTCCTCGGGCAGAGCAGAGAGGATGTGGTGAATGTAAATGTTGGCCCTATACACATAAACATTAGGCAATGTAGAGACGGTCCATCTGGTGTTCACTCTTTTCTTAACGTGTTCCAGTAGAGGCAGCCATGCCGGTAGAGATTAAAATATTACAATTCTGTTCACTATGATTCAATAAATGAGTGTAGGCATACACAAACACTATTATGCATGCATGGTGCACTACATGTATTAAATTCATGCATTGAAATACAGCCATTGTAGCTGTGTTGCCTGAGGGCCAATTGAGGAGCAGTGAAATACACTATTGAAGATTATTCACATCCCCCAAATTACCCCCCAGGCAATGCAGCAGAGCGGTCACTATTTCATTGCAACGCTTGAGTGTTACACATAAAACACCACTAGGGGGCAATCCAACATTTCACTTCAAACAACCACTACCAAAACAGTCTATTCAGCTGGATGTGGTTCTCTCTCTCAGGCTATGAACGCTAATTACTCAGAGCACTTTGCCCAATGAAAGCCTTAGCTCTGTGGGTTTATGGCAGCAGTATTGATAGCGAGAGCCGACCACAGGTAACTAACCTCGCTTAGTGAAAAAAGGAGGATGTAAATCGCTCCCAGACGCTGATCTAAGGTCAGTTTTCCAGTTTTCTCCCTACTATTGGTGGAGGCGGAGCTGGTCCTAGATCTGTGTATACGGGCTACTCCTTGCTCCCTAGTTATCCATGTGAGAGGGATTGAGTAAAAGGGCTTGGTCACTCCAGGCCAGGGTAAAGACAGGACATATGGTCACAGTGCTGTAAGTATGGCAGGATCAGATAGATATGTGTGATTACTACACAGTATTAGGAATAGAGATCTGAGGATTCTGTCTGTAGGGATGTCACCCTTTAGTTTGCAATAGGTCACAGCATTGGTTGAGAGGGGGGAGCTATATCAGAGTTATTAGATCATCATTGAGCCTACAGTGATACATGCATGGTGGGAAATAACACACATTGCTTTCATTACACAAATCATCCATTTGAATTGCAAAGCTGCTCAGCTCTGCTCTACTGTTGTCAACAAAGCCAGTCTGAATCCAGCTGCTCTGAATTCTAAAGGGAGGGAGGCTGGTTTGAATCAAGTCTTTCGACTATAGTTTACTCCCTCTAACTCAGGCCTCTCTCTCTCTCTCTCTCTCTCTCTCTCTCTGTCTCTCTCCATTTCAATTCAAAGAGGCTTTATTGGCATGGGAAATGTGTTTACATTGCCAAAGCAAGTGAAATAAACAATAAACAAAAGTGAGAAGACACAAAACAACACCAAAAAAAACTATTAGAATTTAACAGTAAAAGATAGACATGTCAGGTGCATAGACATGTCAGGTGCTATATTATCAGCAATGTACAGTGTTTTAGCAATGTGCAAATAGTTGTAGTACAACTAGTAGAGGAAAATAAATAAACAGATAAATATTGGTGGTATTTACAATGTTGTTTGTGCTCCACTGGTTGCCCTTTTCTCATGGCAACGAGCCACAAATCTTGCTGCTGTGATTGCACATTGTATTTCGCCATAACAAATATGGGAGTTTATCAATGTTTGATTTGTTTTCAAATTCTTTTTGGGTCTGTGTGTGATCTGTGGGAAATGTGTATCTCTAATGTAGACATACATTTGGCAGGTGGTTAGGAAGTGCTGCTCAGTTTCCACAACGGGTTGGAACCGATTCAGGGAACAGAACAGAAAACCCATAAAATAAAGAAATATATCAAGGAACAGAAATGGAACCGGGAACGAAAGTGATCCATACTGTTCCAAACAGGAACCGATATTTTTCTCATAATTTGGTTGGGTGTAACTATAACCCTTTAACCTAACTCCTAAACTTAACTCTAACCTTAACCCTAACCCTAACTCCTAGCCTAGCTAATGTTAACCAGCTAGCTAGTGTTAGCCACCTAGCCACCTAGCTAGAATTCTTAACATATCATAGGTTTTGCAAATCCGTAACATATTGTACGTTTATGCAAATTTGTGACATATAATGTGAATTGTAAGTCATAACATATCATACTAAATGGAGTCTCTCGGATTTACGTACAGAATAATATATTTACATTTACATTTACATCATTTAGCAGACGCTCTTATCCAGAGTGACTTACAAATTGGTGCATTCAACTTATGATAGCCAGTGGGACAACCACTTTTTTTTTATGGGGGGTGGGGGAGGGGGGGGGGGGGGGGGGTAGAAGGATTAATTTTATACTATTCCAGGTATTCCTTAAAGAGGTAGGGTTTCAAGTGTCTCCGGAAGGTGGTCAGTGACTCCGCTGTCCTGACGTCATGGGGGAGCTTGTTCCACCATTGGGGTGCCAGAGCAGCAAATAGCTTTGACTGGGCTGAGCGAGAACTGTGCTTCCGTAGAGGTAGGGGGGCTAGCAGGCCAGAGGTGGATGAACGTACTGCCCTCGTTTGGGTGTAGGGTCTGATCAGAGCCTGAAGGTAAGGAGGTGCCGTTCCCCTCACAGCTCTGTAGGCAAGCACCATGGTCTTGTAGTAGATGCAAGCCTCAACTGGAAGCCAGTGGAGTGTGCGGAGGAGAGGGGTGACATGAGAGAACTTGGGAAGGTTGTACACCAGACGGGCTGCAGCGTTCTGGATAAGTTGTAGGGGTTTAATGGCACAGGCAGGGAGCCCAGCCAACAGCGAGTTGCAGTAATCCAGATGGGAGATGACAAGTGCCTGGATTAGGACCTGTGCCGCTTTCTGTGTAAGGTAGGGTCGTACTCTGCGAATGTTGTAGAGCATGAACCTGCAGGATCGGGTCACCGCTTTGATGTTAGCGGAGAACGACAGGGTGTTGTCCAGGGTCACGAAAAGCTCTGAGATCGGGTTGTAGTGTCACAATACCAAACGTAACATATCATACTAATTTGAAGGTCCCGGATTTACATTTACTATGTTATGTCTAGTCTATGAGACCAGGCTGTGTGATTGGGCTACACATAAACTATTGATCCTCTGTGGCAAAATTATAGGCCTACACCTGGTGTAGTATTCTGAGTTATTTCATTTATTTCTGAACAAAGAGCAGTAATTCTATAACTTTGGTAAATGTATTTCAATTTATCAGGGGTGCTCTGGCACCCCTAGCACCCACCCTATGATTCTATAAGGAAATAAATGATGAAGTGCAACGCTGGAGGGATGAGAGTTGCAGGCTCATATATATCAGAGCAGAGAGAGGGAGAGAGATCATAGAAAGTTAATCTCATTCTAGTTCTGTGAGAGATACAGGCACGCTTCTCTCTCTCACTAAAGCAATGGCCACGCATTGGTCTATACAGGCTACAATGTTGTGCAAACCATAAACCCGGGCCGGCCCAACACAAATCAATTCTTAGAATATCAGGCACGTTTTCACATTACGTTTTTTAGGGGGCAGGAGAAGTACAGAGGAGGCTACTTGAATTAACTCTGATTGATTGTTTTATCATTTTTACATTGCAAACAGTGAAAATAATTGTTCATGCCAAGAGAGGTACCGGATCCTGGCAAATGGGTTCCTGGAACGAAACAGTCCAAAATTGAGAGCTGCTGGATCCTGTTCAGGCAGGATCCGGCTCAAATTAAGCACTGAGCAAGACAAAATATTTAAGTGCCTTTGACTGGGGTATGGTATAGGTACCAGGCGCACCAGTTTGGGTCAAGAATGGTCCACCACCCAAAGGACATCCAGCCAACTTGACACAACTGTGGGAAGCATTGGAGTCAACATGGGCCAGCATCCCTGTTGAACGCTTTCGACATCTTGTAGAGTCCATGCCCCAAATAATTGAGGCTGTTCTGAGGCAACTTAATATTAGGAAGGTGTTCTTAATGTACACTCAGTGTACATGATCAACTACAAATCTTAGAATCAGCTATTAAAGATGACCAGAACCTACTAGATTCTCCAATTACATTGAATGAACTACAGGACAAAATACAAACCCTCCAACCCAAAAAGGCCTGTGGTGTTGATGGTATCCTAAATGAAATGATGAAACAAATTCCAATTGGCTATACTTAAACTCTTTAACATCATCTTCAGCTCTGGCAGCTTCCCTAATATTTGGAACCAAGGACTGATCACCCCAATCCATAAAAGTGGAGACAAATTTGACCCCAAATAATTACAGTGGAATCTGCGTCAACAGCAATCTCGGACAAATCCTCTGCAGTATCATCAATAGCAGACTCCAACATTTCCTCAGGGAAAACAATGCCCTGAGCAAATGTCAAATTGTCTTCTTACCTAAATACCGTACCACAGACCACGTATACACCCTGCACACCCTTGTTGACAAACAAAACAAAACGAGTTGAAGGATGGGACTAATAACAACTAACAACAACTAATAACAAGATAACTAATAATGTAAGCATACTGTGTCCATAATAAGTATATAGGTTGTAGGTTGGGAGCT